CTCCACTGCAACAATCATATGCCTCCCCTGCACAGGCAAGCCGATTGTGCTCTTGCCACATAGCCCACTTTTAAAATTGAAAAACGCCAACTCCACACCCAATGAAAACGTAGTAATGGGCACAGCATTTTAACATATTGTAAAACATGAAATGCAACAGTCATTCAGTGCTCTTTCCATTGTGACACAAATCATACACTTTGTTATTGCCTTTCTGCAAATGACATAATTACCAATTGTTAATCCTGCATGTCGACTAGAAGACCCTTCTCTCTCATCACTATGTAGGATACATAATGTTTTGAGTTGTATTTTGTGCAGGTCTCAATTGAATTATTTACCATCCCTGAGATAACGCCAGTGTATTTTTAGTTTGAGATGTTTATATATTTTTTTAATATTTTTAATATTTTTTGTTTATATTTTAGAATTGTTTATTGCTACTCATTTAATTTCTAATTATGTACAATACCTTTTTTTATTATGCTGCTGTAACAATTTGTGTTTCCCATTTTGGGATCAATAAAGTACATTTTATCTTATTATCTTTTAAAAGCCCATCGCAATACAAATCACAATATGCCATATCATTTGAGTCTTTTCCACAAATACATTAATAAATGCAGTATTTTGTTGCATTGAATCATGTATCTCGTAGATTGTACTTTGTGTCTACATCTCCAGTTTCAGACTGAGTAAAAAACATTATTGTATCATATATTGTTTGTGTACTTTAAATACATTTTGAGACAGCAGTGTTGACAATAATCAAAACAATTGCTGGTCAAAATAAGCTCTAGAAAAAATTGAAAGACAGCTATGGCAACATGAAACAAAGCATCTAGATCCAGTTTCAAACAAGAATGCAGCATTTTAAATGTGCCAATTGTTTTCTGTTAAGCAAGGACAGCCAACAGTAAAGATGGTGTGCAGGACTCACAATCTGCCGTAACTCTGCCTCTGTGGTGAGAGATACTGTGCGTGTTTGTTCAATTTGTTGTGGTTGTCGGCCATCAACCCTCACCCCAACCTCTACCCTAACTCTCCCATTTTCCGGTTGCTCTTCTATCAGGTTTGGCACTCCCTGCTGAGGCGCCTCATTAGGAGGAGAGTGGAGCATCTGTGCTGGTCAGGCAAGATGACTTAGGCCTCCTGGCCAGAGCCGCAGCGGAGTGTCACTGCTGGAAGAACAAAAACTTCCTGCAGGGGCCCTCTACAATCAAGAGAGGATAACTGCTTCCTTTATATATTTTCTTTTAAAATGATTCTCTCAGCTGGCTCTGGCTTTATTCAGGCCTCAAGGTTGTCACGGTGCACCTTTGTCGACAAAACTCTTTTCCATTGTTACTGTGTTTTACAAATCCTTTTAATGTACGCCCAGTAGTTAGCCCCTAATGGCTGCCTTTTAGTTCCTGTTCAACTGACTAACACTAAAGTTGCAACATCACCCCTTTTGTCGGACTCATCGTCTTGTGAAGTGTCTTGGGAAAACTATGGCCGCACACTAAGCTTGAGGACACTACACACAGTACAGAAGGTTTGAGAAAAAACATCATTAAACCCACTGTGAAAGTGTTTAACTTTAATGAAAGACCCCTGTCAGCTGCCATCAGATATAGCCGGAAGACTGGCTATTAAAAAAGTTGGACAGCTAACATCCACTATCAGACCGTTACTGTCTCCTGGGTATCATCACAATAGATACCCGTGCATCTTCAGTTTACAAACAGCCCAGAAAGGAGTATGCAAGTTGAAGCCTTTTACAACAACAGCTTCAGCAACAGTTAAGCTTAATGAGGTAGTATTTGTGTGACTGATTGCTATGACGATGGCTGTACTATGTTTATTCCAATCGGCACACTGGCGACGTCTTCAGTCTGAGCAAAGGTCAACTACTTTCCCAATCTACCTTCAATTCAATGTTTCTAATAATACTCGTGTTTTTAGACCTACATAAAGTATAGCAACAATGCATTTAAAAAACAAACAAATAACATACCCAAACAAATTTGATGCGTATTCCTTTACCAATTTATTTTCTCAAGAATCAAAGTAGCGAGGGCTTTTTTTCCCTACAAAAATAAGCTTGTCCGTGCTCTCTGGAGGAAACATGGTGTAATGGCAACACTTAAATATCTCCAACATAACTCAGCCTTTGTAGACTGCAATTACTTGTTTCTCGTCAGCTGAAATACACACTGAGAAACATATACTGTACGTTGCTGTCCCTCCATCTCCACTGACACAATCCATCTACACATATATATTGTTTACACGATCCAATGCCATCAATACCAGCTTCATGCTTCAACACACATATGTCTAGACGACTGATGTAGTCCATAATACAGCTTCATTAACAGCACAAGCCTTCATGTCTGCCCTGAGGCATGTTTACTACGGTGCAGCTGCCATGATTTCCAACTGTGCCGATATATACAGAAAAAGACACACATGGTCTGTATTTTAGTGTTGCTCGACTAAGCTGCACTTGGAAAATCTAATATGTAACATTTGGGCTGTACACCATAATTTCTCTACGAAAGAGACACTATCTTAAGTCAAATAAAAGGTTTCTAATTCAATACTTGTGTTGCCCATTAGCTTGTACACACTGCTGCCATACTATGTATGCGCCAATGATTATACAACCATCTTCTTGGACTGAGACATGTTCCATGTTATGTAATGTAAAAACAAACCCCCATCTCCTTAATTCAGTTCATTTTCATACCCTGCATCTCTACCACACACCATGCAAATAAGCACAGCTAAAAGCCATGGGCACAATGGCTAATTGGAGAGGATTTCATTACAAGTTAACCTTGATAATGTTTACTGTGTGGTGTCCATCCAGAATGCGTGGGATGAGATTTGCTTATTGCAGTAAATCTGGCAGACAGATTTCAATTTAATTAGGCCTGGGAATAATGTAAGACCTACACAATTTCCTTGACAAATATCCTACACTGAATGGTGAATAACAAGTCTGTAAAATTGCTGCACTGGGATCAAGCCACACATCGTATAACAGCTCTGCGTTTGTGGCGTAGTAGCTATGTAGGATGGATTTATGGTGAATAATAATGGAGAGCAGTGAGTCACAATACTTGTGTGAAGTGAAGACGACCAAGCCCACGCAAAGCTCTTGGTGTAATGTATGCAGCCAGCACCTCATTTCCTATTCCTCTCTAAGGAAGCCTTCTGAAACTACCCCAGTCACTCTATTTATATCTGGCAACATATTTTCATCTCTGCGCTGATAGAGCCATTAGGTACAGCACAGCCATAGCATCTTCACCTGCACACTGACGGTATGAATGTTAAAAGACTTAACCATTTATAAATCCTAAACTATCACAAAGAAAACTAATTCCACTCTCATAACCCTCTTATTAGCTGCAATGGTGACCTAATTGAAAACGGCCTGTCAGACAGTAAGTGAGCAGAACACAACTTGACAGATTGTGTGTGTGTGTGTGTGTGTGTGTGTGTGTGTGTGTGTGTGTGTGTGTGTGTGTGTGTGTGTGTGTGTGTGTGTGTGTGTGTGTGTGTGTGTGTGTGTGTGTGTGTGTGTGAGATGGGGGAAGTTACTATGCACATCCCACAACAAAAGCTATATCATCTTTATTTTATTTATCAGGGCGGTGGTGGCGAAGTCGATAGGGACTTGGCTTGGCAACTGGAAAGTCACCAGTTCAAGTCCCGGCAAAAACAAGTGCTACCGAGGTGTCCCTGAGCAAGGCACCGTTCCCCACACTGCTCCCCGGGCGCCGTTCAAAATGGCAGCACACTGCTCCTAACACTAGGATGGGTCAAATGCAGAGAAACAATTTCCCCACGAGGGATTAATAAAAGTCCATCTTATTTTAAATATGTCCATACTTGGCATGAGAATAGACAGTGGAGAAGTGAATTTAGCTTCAAGAGTGGAATGTTGTATTTCCTTTTTCGAGATAATTTGACCTTGTATTACATTACATTGCATTTAGCTGACGCTTTTATCCAAAGCGACTTACAATAAGTACATTCGACCAGGAAGACACAACCTTGAAGAAAACAGAATCATATAAGTACATCAGGTATAGAGCCAAACATTTCAAGTGCTACTCAACTGGCTTTAGGTAAGCCAGTCCTTTATTAGTATAAAAGTGCTTTGTTAATATTATTTGTTTGTATTAAGTGCTGACAGTAAGTGAACATTATGCTTATCTGATTTTAGAAAATAGGCTATGTAAAATTATTTAATTGGACAAAAACTGATGTTATATTTTATTCTGGGTCTTAGCCAGGTACAGCAAGTGTTTCTATAAATATAAATAATGGTCATATGCAGCCGCAGTTTGTAATACAAACACACTAAGGATACAGTACAGTATGTAGCCGCTGATTCACCACGGACTGTAAGCGAGAACAACGCGGCCACCACTGGTTTTAGCTAGTGTTGGTCATCAGGGGAAATCAAACCAAGATATAGCAACAGGCAATACAAAGAGTAACAAAGAAAAGGATCCCCATGGCTCTGTTATTCAGACTTTGAGAAAATATCTGAAAAAAATCCAGGCAATGCAACTCCAATTTTTTGGAAAGCAAGATGTGATCATTACGATTATCACCTGGTGTATGGTTTTAGGCCATGACTTCTTAAACCAGCACAAAATAAAAAGTTTAAATCTACATTTGATGTGACTCATGCAAAAAAAATAAAATGTCTTTGTTAAAATAATAACATTTTTGAAAACCTCATACAGTTCAGGGAGGAGATACAAATGGTGCATGCTTCAGTATGACAGGTTTTTCTTTTCATCTTGTTACCTGAACCCTTTGATCTATCATGTAAATGTTTAGTTCGTTTTTTATGCGAGTACTCAAAGTAGTTAACTGTGCAGGTTGTCTACAATCAGTACCCTCTTGAACAAAATGGTGCAGTTACTCTGGAAATGTGGACTGGAAACACCTCCCCACTATTACTATGAGTCTGTGGCGGTATGTTCACTCACCAGCTGGGCATCTGCAGGAGGCTGTTCCATTGGAGCGTGTCAGGCAGGTGGAGTTGTGCAGGCAGGGATTGTGGAGGGGGTCGCAGGGGTCATAGGGATGGTTGCACAAGGGGCCGCTGAAGAAGGGGGGACAGGTGCAGGAAAACTCCCCAGGTACATCTGACTCCTGACACTGAGCTCCATTTAGACAGGGCCCAGAATCACACTCATCCACATCCTCTGCACAGTCCACACCTGTCCAGCCCAGAGAGCACAGACACCTTGGATACACCGGAGAGGAGATAGGGCACTGTAGAGGTCATTTTGGCATAAATAAAACTGAATCCTAAATAAATAAACAACTTATATTGGGTTCTTTTAGGGGTTGTGGTTGTCAATGAAAATAGCAGCTGTACTGTAAGGTTATGCACAACTACCACAGTAATTCAAACGATCCCCTAGATACATTTTCCTGCATGCACAGAAGTACACAGTGGTGCAGTCCATGTATTGACACAGCACTCCTGGATCTTTTGTAAGACAGTGCAGGGAATTTAAAGGTTAATTGAACTACTGGTCGGAGCAGCTTTTAATTCTGGACAACTGAATGTAGGACACAGGAGGTTAGAGCACTGAGCGGGATTAAATGGAAATGTGATAGACAGAGACAGAGATGGGGCCGGAGAAGCAGAGATTTCTGAAGTATCTACTCTTAAGGCAGGTGAATATTCCACTTGGTGGCAGTGAGTACCCGAGCTCTACCAACCACTCCACCTCACATTCCTTTTCACCCTCCAACATTTCCACCTGAAGCAGTTTTACGTCTCCCCTGCGAGAAGAGGGCATTAGCTGAAGCAGATACACCAGCTTTTTCCTCCAATGAGTCACAGATCCCCTGAAACCCTTTCATGCTGTGAGCCATTGATTGACTCATTTGTTTTACCTGCCATCTGCAATTCATTATCTCCGCTGCCAGTGGAAGGACATATTGCTATCTCTGAACGCCTTCTTTTTCTCTGCATTTCTTAAGTGACTGATGAACCTCGGGAGGACAGCGCCCTCGGGCCGGCTTGCACACCTACTTGTAGCTGTTAAGAAGGTCTGTGCAGGTTGCGTTGTTTTTGCATGGCTGCGATAAACATTCATCAATTTCTCGTTGGCAGAACTCCCCCTCCCAGCCTGAGTGACACACACACTCGTAACTCTGCAACACACAAAAAAGGAAACAGCATTATATTGAAATATAGTGACACTTTACATAGGCACTTGCCTTGGTGTAGTAAAGTAAGCCGTTAAAAGTCTATTACTGTCATTATAATAGCAAAGCACACTATTAAAATATAACTGTATTGTATATACATATGGAATCTGGTAATTAAGTTGCTGTGGATCAGTCGCAGGGTAATCTGAGACCTCTTAGGAAACACTAATATTTTTGTAAACAAACAATGCTTTGCTATATACTCAATTTGCTCTAAAATATTGCAGAATAAAACCTCCTTCTTACAAAGAAAATCTTTCCTGTGGAATGATGTCTGAACTGTGAGTGTCATTCTTGTCTTGAATTATTACATTATGCCATGCAGATGTATTTCTTCTACCACCCACCTTCTGGATAATACAGTAGGCAGCCTGTTTTTTCCATGCCATTCGGTATAAGACTCCATCAAGCATACAATATTACCTCTGCATATTTTGTAAAGGAAGGATTTTATTATATAAGCAAACATGTAATATATATTGTTTGGATTCCTGGTAAATATATTGTTTCTACTGTACTGTTGAGAAAGAGATTTATAGCTCCTACTTCAATTTTCCTTTTCCACTCAAAGCAGTTTTTGATGACTTGTTTTTTATTTCTTCATTTCAATATGCATCACGATCATTAATTATGATACAGTATATTACATTACATGTTAGACGCTTTTATCTTGCCGCTTACGCTTGTCTTGCCCAGGGACACAACGACATGCTGACTGCAGTGGGGTTTGAACCTGTGCTCCCCTGATCCGAACACCAACGCACTAGTCCATTGCGCCATAGCCTCGCATATAAATGGTTTGTGTTAATATTACTTTCTAATGCAACTGGTTAAATATAAATTCTGGTCATATGGACAACGTTTTTTAGGATTCCTCATTGCCAACATCCTGTATATGGTCTTGGCTGCTGCTGGTTGAATGTATGCTAATCTGTATTTTATACACAGGAGGGGAGCCGTTAAACTTTGTTGGATATCATTTTTACACTGTGGGCCCCATGGTGATGGTGGGGGGGGGGGGGGAAATGCCGTCATCTCTTGATAAATTAGATACCTCCAGGAGCCTTCCATTCCTTACCCCTGGCAATAGAGCATCATCTCATTTTTGCTGCTAAGTCACCTTCAGGGAGCGCGATTCTCCAAAATAAGCTAAAGCTCTGTGGGACATGATGTTCAGAGAGGAATATCTGCACTGTAAACAAGACTATGTTGTAGGGTTTATAAGAACCAATCTTATTTAAATAATGGGACAACAAAAAAGTTATAATTGGCAAACAGATAAAAGTTTGACTACATTTTTTTTAATTATGACTCATATCGCTCCAAATTCCCTTTTTATGCGGTGTCCTTTTGTCTTTGGATTTGGAGTATTCAGTTTATCTCAGACAATTACACTGTAATGTTTTAACCAGGAAATGTTGCTAGGGGAATTTCGAAACCTTATCAAAGAACTCCTTGTAGAATAGTTCATAACATGAAGAGGGAAAATAAGCATTTGCCTTTCAGTTATCCTTACTACAGTAGCCCTTTTTTTATGGGAACACAAGAAAATGCTTCTGGTATCCCTGTGAATACTTAATACACATTTTTTTACAACATAATTACCCATGCCAGTATACTTCGTTAAGTAAATTATGGAGGACTCTGAAAAGCAAAAATATGACACTGTGAAATTGAAACCTCAAAGCGTGGTGAAGTAATACATAATACGGCTTTAATTATCTCCATAGAGTCAAAACCCCAAACTTACTGTTATTCTTAAACACATCACAACTTTCTTACATATATTATGCACTAATTTTCAAGAGCATAAACTCATTTTAAATCCACACATTTTGGGTGGACTATGCACCAGAAGTTATTTGTCTTTGTCTAAAGGGAAAAAAAGCTAACCCGAAAGACTTTATCTATGACACATCTGCTTCACTACTGCAATCTGTTAGCAAATAAGCAGCTGTTTGAAAAAGGCCCCTGGTACTCGTTGCACAGTTTGTAAGCAGCATGCAGTTCCCAAGGCCTTATTGCAGCTGCAACAGATCAATGTTATTGGCTGAAAAAAACATTTGAAAAACTACAAAAGTAGAGCTGTGCCTTGCATAAACTAAAATCCTAAATGTTCTCTTCAACCCAAGCATGTGCATCTTTAAAAACAAAAATCATATGATAGAACAAATCATGTTCTATCACATGATGTTTTTTACTTGACATTTGACATATGAGTAACTTCCTGTATATGCCTATATGCTAAACATAGCCAGGGAGGAAGAACCTTGCATCAAGTAATACATAATTTTAGAGGCCCTTTGAACATTTTAAATCACTGAATGGCCATAGAAAAATTATGCTTAATACATGCTTTTAATATTTGCTTTATGATCGCTAGGAACCTTTTAAATATGCATAATTACTGGGCAAGGATATCATTTTGCAAATAGACATATTAAAAATGGTCAATCTAATGCATTTCATGGTAAGAATATATACTATAAACTCTTGTTTTATTTTCTCAAGCTTACTTGGGTAACCTTTAGATCATTTTGGCACTTTAAAAGATCAGCAACAATGGCTTAATGGCATAATTGGCATGATTTGGAGATAATAATGAGGTACATTTAATAGTCATTATGAGACAGCTCCTGTTCCCTTCTTGTTTCACCCAGACACCTGACACTTGCTTGAATCGCCTCCTGCTAAACACATTTTGTAAAAAGACCAATAAAGTCTGCCAGATTTGCCTGGAATATATAAACTTGATGGTTGTACAGCTGTAGCAGAGCCTAAAGCCATATTTGTGTTTTTAATAATACACCGCTATTCATGTTATTGCAGTTGTTTATATTTTACTGCAGTAGGAATGCTTTCAAACTTTAACTGCATGGCAGTCATCAAAGGTAATAAGCATTGCCTTATGTGGTTCAGGTCTGTCAATATGCAATAATAAATAGTAGTGCTTTGCAATGAGTTACCAACTGTAGTGATTTACAAGACATTGCACCATTTTTAAAACCTTTTAAATTCCATTTTATCAGGCTATTATAGTGGCAAACAAAGATAAGTGTGTACTTACCAGATGGAGGTCTCTACATATCGAGTTGGAGCTGCACAAACTGTTCACGCAGTCATCAATGTCTTGCTCACATCTCAGCCCAGCATAACCAGGATTGCAAAGGCAGTAGAATCCGTCTACAACTGAAACAAGATCAGTAGGACAGTTACAGCACCTTGCATCATAAATCCATTCAATCTACTCTCAGTAGGATATCTCTACACAGGTAAGAGCTGATTGCGTCTACAAAGCACAACCCACCCTGTGATTTCATTCTTTAATGGATACAACCATTGAATAAACACTGTGTGCTGAATCAGTCAAACCTGGTAAATCCAAGTGACAGGTTACCTCCCTCTTCATCAGCCAGTTCGAGTTTGACACACTAACCATCTTTAAATTAACCTCCCAGCAAAAAGCCATTTGGTCTCTGTTTCTCGTTTCCTCGTCCCCTGTCTGTACTTATCCCTCTCTTCCTCAATGAAAGCCTTGTCATTTGTTTTCACACTCTCAACACACCGAATGAGCTGCAAAGAAGTGCGATGTCGGCCCATTTAAAGGGCCATTCTTTATTCACATGTTACAAATGCACTAATTTCTTCCATCAGAAGTTAGTATTTCCCACGTCTAATAATCCATTCCTTCCTGTCTTTAATTATTAATGAAGTTAAGGCGGGATGCATCATTCTGTTTCTCCTACACAACACTGGTGTACAGGCAGCCAGTGACAGAGGTAATTGCACTTCTTACAGGGGTGAATTTATTACTTCCCCAGTCAGGGTCCCAGGATTCTTCATTATCCCAAAGATTTACCACGTAATCTATGCTGTCACTCTGTCTTGGTGCGTGTAGCTGCTATTACTCTCATTAAATGCTTTAGGTCCTGGGTGGCAGTAGCATTACTCATCGCAACCACTGTGGCCAGTGCTCTCCCTGGTGGCTGTGACTGGCTGGATGTTGCTGAGCAGCAGCCAATAGGTCCGCGAGGCCTGCTTCACTAACCTAAGGTGAACTGGCTGCACTGAAGATTAGTAAAGACAGCTGGCCGAGGTCTACTGTAGCATAGTGAAGGATAGGATACTCTCATACAGCAATCCACTGCCATCATTGTGTTTTTCTGGCAGAGGCCAGTTGAAACACAGCAAGATTTGGTTAAATGCCATAGCTGCTTGAAGGTAATAATACAGCACAAATGTTATACTACTTAGAGAAACCCACTTTGACTCTGCACAACTGATGCAGAGTAATTTTAGACATCTTAAAACAAAATGTACCAAGGACATTTGTGCAGTTTCTATTTTATTTGTGTCCTTCACAATATATGTGAAACTTGTCAACTGAAATACATTACAATCATTGACGAACGCATGATAAATAAGCCTTAATTCAAGAATATTATTTTTGATCAATGAGTTTTTAAACACTTATGCTAGAAATGGAAGACATAGGGGTTACAATGTATCAAGATAGCCACAGGAAGAAAAACAATCTCCTGCCTTTGATTGTATTACTTTTGTCATTTATCATCCATTATTCAAATTACAACGCAGCATTGATGCTTAATAGATTTCCTTCTTCAGATATGTTAAGGAACTAATCAAGCCTACTCCAGCAGGTAATGTCCTAGATCTGCACATCAGATGAAATAACTCCACTCTCATAACCCTCTTATTAGCTGCAATGGTGACCTAATTGAAAACGGCCTGTCAGACAGTAAGTGAGCAGAACACAACTTGACAGATTGTGTGTGTGTGTGTGTGTGTGTGTGTGTGTGTGTGTGTGTGTGTGTGTGTGTGTGTGTGTGTGTGTGTGTGTGTGTGTGTGTAAAGAAGTGTGCTTCCATCTTGAGTGCCTGTTATTAAGCATGTTAGAAGGATAGGCCATTTCTTACCATCGTAGCAGAAACCGTGACAGCAGGGGCTGGAGCTGCACTCATCCACATTGATTTCACAGCGGGGGCCAGTGAATCCACGGCGACAGTGACAGCGGAAACCAAGAGGGAAATGGTCCTGATCCAACTCCTCCACACACACTGCACCATTCTCGCATGGATTACTGGCCTCACAGGGTAAGAACTCGCAATTATGACCTGGAGCGAAGCAAAAAAAACGTGTAGGAGAAACCTTTAGCAGACAAGAATCTGTGAAGAAGTGCAATATAAGTGTACTACTGGGGTTAAGGATTAAACCCCTTTTGTATGTTTCCATCCATGACGTGTGGTAGAGTACACGTAGTGTCAAAGCCTACTCTTTAAACAGAAGGTCATACAGGAAGCCTTGGTCCAGTCATTTGTAATTAAAAATATATATGTATTGTAAATCCTGTCTCGTTCCTGTTTTAAAACTGAACCAAAGTGATAATCAAATGTAACTTTGCAATCACAGACTTCCGTCATAGTTATATAGAGAATCAAGCCATTTAGATGCATTTTTAGAACTGTTGTGTCCATTTCAGGCGCGGAACACTAGAAATGTAATTGCTTAAGATTTCACAGTACCCAAATAAAAATGAGTTCCACATTTGAGCTTGTGACAAAACAATTACAAAACTAATAGTCTCCGTCCTTAGTTCTATCAGGCAGCGCTGATTTAAATGAACTCATAAAAGCACACCTGTGGCTCTGAGGCGCTCAATTTAATTACTAAAGCACTAACTGAACATTAATATTTGCAATATCAAGATTTCCTGCCACTTTGTTTGAGCAAACTGCTAGAAATGAAAATGCCAGACACCATTACATTCAGATCATGAATAAACACATTGATGAAAAACACTCGTCTAAATCACAAATAAGAAATGCAATAGATCATGCTTATACTCACATTGCCTTAACAAAACTTGATGTAACACAGTTGTTATGTCCTATTTCAAAAATGCATTTCGGGAAAAATGATCAGTTAAACTACAATGACAACCTCACAGTTCTTTGTAAAGTGGTCATAATTTGACCGTAACAATTTGACCACGGCATTTCATCCTTTCATTAGTTGACTTTTCCACATTTGTAGAAATATTTCTTCAAGCAGCCCAGAGAATGAAACTGACAGAACCAGGAGAAAAGTCCCAACCACGACTTTAGTCTGCACAGAAGCATACAAATTCCTGGTGAAATCAGTTTCTTATTTGTAGAGGAATTGCTAAACCCAAATGGGTTCTGCACGCCTTAATCAGAAGCATATTCTGAAGGCACATCATTGCTTTTGGCTGAGCCAGCAGGTTGTAGTATCCACAGCTGATTAAAGTTCTGTTCTGGCTGTGTAAGCTTGTTACAAAGAAACTTGGTGGTAAATATCAAAATGTGGTACTTATACATTTTAAATACCTCTGGCATTATTCAACAACTGGTCGGTCAAACAGCAACATGCAATGGACAGTATTTAAATGATAGTTTCCTAGTAAAATTACTTGTCAAAGTGGCAGCACTATTGACACATCATTCTTACTTAACTGGTCATTTTATAAAAAATACACCTCCTTGAAGCAATACACAGATATAATCAAATCACTCTCTGTATTGTGACATTTTTACTAGACCTGCCAATCTCATTGAGAATCAACAGCCATTCTACAGCTGTTTGCCGCTCTCGGTTCCTTTGAGTCCTGGCAGCTCTCACAAACTCCAGGACTGAAAACCGCAACTATTCCACTGCCAATCCCCTTGTTTTAGTATTATCACACTTGTACTGTAATGTGGCAATCTACCATTTGGAGTTACAACTACACTTGGACATAGAGTGGAATTGTGTAGTAAATCAAGGAAGACACAGGTTTCCCATTTGCTTTAGACGCTTGTGATTTGCGTGTGACCGAGGAAGATGAATGAGGTGCTGATTGGGTCTAACAACAAACTGGCTTCTGATTTTGTAGATGTAGCTCTGGCACAGCCCTGAACAAATCTATGCAGACTGGGACTCAAAACTGAATGATTATTCAAAGTGATTCAAAAGTAACTGCGTGTTGCACACATGGTTATTACCATGCGTGTCAATTACAAACTTTTCTCCCAACTTTTCAATTGAGACTCTCTTACTTTCTAATAGTACACGTGTATTGGTTCTATTACAGGTTCCCTTCATCTTTGACTATGAAAAGCCACTGCCATGCTTTATACTAGTAATGGTGTTACATGGGTAATCAACTGTGCCTCATTTCTGCCATACTTTCTATAGTGCTTTGAATTACAGCTGAAGACTTCCATGTTCATTTTCATGAACACTCTGAATCTTCTCCTTAAACTGTCAGCGGTCTTTGAAGTGCCTTTAATGCCATGTGCCTTTTTCAGGAGTCATTTCCTCCTGGCCACTAAAGCCTAGATTTGTGGAGTGCTGCCCTGACTGTTGTCCTTCCAGGAAGATCTCACAGCCAACGGGCTCATTAGATCTGTCAGAAAAGCGTGTGAGGAATCTGGCTCAGTTAATGTTTTTTCACATTTGGTAATGACGGAGACCTTTTTGCTCCCATTAAATCACACTATTAGAATTGTATCCAGTTAAAGTTCCTCAGACTTTGTGGTCGAGTCTTTAACCCAACATGCACAGTGCAGAGTGGATCTCTAATAATGGCAAACAGACCTTGTTTGTTGTTAGTCATGTTGGAGCAAAAGCAGCAAAGTGCAAAGTAATGCACTTAGGTTTTCTGAATCAAAAATATGAGTATAATATGAGTGATAATTCAAACACTATAAACCTATCCGAGACTCAGAATGAAAAGGACCTTGGTGTGAATGTTGACAATACCCTGACATTTAGTGACCATATCCGTCGGGCAAGTGACAAAGCGAATGGTATCCTAGCAATGATCTGCAGATCATACACTTATTTGGACTCTGACGTAGTACGTCGTTTATACATCTCTCTTGTACGGCCACTCCTCGAGTATGGGAATGTCGCTTGGTCCCCCATGTACAAAAAGGATGCTGAGCTCATCGAGAAAATACAGAGAAGGGCAACGAAGCTGGTTCCAGAACTAAAGGACCTACCATATCAAGAACGACTGCAAAGTCTTAAAATCTTGAGTATGTATTATAGAAGGGCGAGGGGAGATATGATCGAAGTTTTCAAATATCTCCACAACATCTACAAAACATCATGCCCACTACAACGGGATTATAACACCAGGACTCGTGGACACTGCCTCAAGTTGAAGAAACAGTACTCAAGACTGGCTATCTGCCGCAACTTTTTCAGCCTGCGTGTGGTTGACTTGTGGAATGATCTGCCAGAAAGCGTTGTCACATCCAAGACGGTTAACTGTCTCAAATCCCGCCTCGACCACTACTGTTTAAACATCACCTTCACTTTGGACTATGTGACTGTTGCCAGCATCCATAGTAAATAAAGAATCAGTGATCTACTTATTGATTTATGAGCGACTAAAAGGCCTTAGGCCTATTACAGCCGTATCCTATTGATTGATTGATTGATTGATGTTCAGAATATTGTAGTCATTACCAAGATGGGACAAATTGAGCTGTGCCAACAAGTAAGCATCATTACAAATCTAGTCACCATTGATCAATTGTTTTTGGAGGTTCAAGTGGAGAACTATGTTACAAATCTACTTAACAACTGATGAAATCATAATGTATAAATGTTCAATTATAGTAACACATTCCTATTGAAACATATAACTTAATATTGACCAAATATAAGATGCATTTGTTGCCCTCAGATTGTTAAATAATGTAATATTCTAGGTTTTATTTTTAACAAACCTAGTTGATACATACATTTGTGGTCAAATTAAATGAATTGTAATGTTAGCATTTTAACTTTGATTATCATCTGCTGGCCCTTAAATGTCATTATAAAACTAACATCAGGTTTTGGCTTCAAACAGTGATACTTTGTTACCAGATAGTCTCTTAATATGAGTCTAACTCCTTTACCTTTTGTTAAAAACATCCTCTACCCCAAATAACCCAACTACTTTTTTATTCCCATCGATATGCAACAATAACGCTGTACAGCTCTGTCATCTGACTAAATGATGAAAAGTTGTGACTCGTGTGACAGAAGCACCCACCACAGCTAACATCTCACTTAATTACTTGAGATTTCTTTATTTAACCGCAGGTAGCAAATGAAGATGTACTCATTTTGTTAGGATATGTGATGTAAGTTCAGACAGGTGAAAATAATAGTATGTGAAGTTAATTAACTTTGCTTTTTTGTCCCCATTCCCTCAGTGCTCATTACCTTTAAATGGAGCCGCACATTGGCAGAAGTAATTACCAGGCTGGTCAATGCATGTGGCTCCATTCTTGCATGGCGATGAAGCACAGTCATCAATGTCAAGTTCACACTCTGTACCTTTGACAAATAAAAAAGAGCAAAGGTTGATTAATATGGAACGTTGATGTGTCGCTGGCATACATGTTTGACTTTTATCAAAGGAAACCAATGTTAAAATCAGACTGATTGTCAAAATCACACATGCTTTGCTGTCTTAAAGATGACAGTTGGTTGTCCACATAACAGGCTGGTTACCATCACTTTAATACAACCACATCCTTTCATTTTGGTATAACTAATGCTGTAAACTAATGCTAAAACAGCTACGATACCCATGAGGGCTCTATGTCGATGCAGCAAGGCATACAACAAAACTGATCATCCATTTCAGACACTATTTCTGAGTATTCAAAAAGTTTTCTTCAAAACATAAATAGGGATTCAGTAATTGTTTTCAAAGGAGAGAAACAGGCTCCTTGGGGATCATACGATTCAGCACTTCAACCAGTTGTATTGTTTGTAATACACTGAATCTGTCTCTGCGTGAATTATTACCAATTATTACAAAACCGTTCCAAAGCTGTGTTTGACTGTTACGGGTGGAAACACATGATCTTCTTTTTAATCTCGAGTTATTATTCATCTTGTACTTTCAACAGTTGGCATCACAGCATCACATGTAGGAGAATAATTATTCTGCAAGACTTCAAAATGTGTGCACGCCGGACTAAATCACTGTGCTGTCTGTAGACTTTAAAGAGGAGCTGTTGATGGAAGCTGACTTCACTTTGAAAATGCACTTGTTGTGTTCATAATTGATACATGTCATTGTCTGAAAACTTACAAAGATACTTCTCATCTGAAAACATGAGGTGCATTCACTTACCTGTAAAGCCAGGCATACAGACACATCTGTAGCCATGAACAAGGTCAAGGCACGTAGCATTGTGCAGGCAGGGGGAGGACATGCACTCGTCTATGTTGACTTCACAGTAGTTCCCTGTAAGGACATGAAATTAAAGCAGTCAGAGTTCACTACAGATTTGAGTTTGATGAACATTTCATGCTCAGTTTTCCACTTTCCTTCAACTTAGTTAAATGTCTAATACGTTGCGTTTGACTTAAAGCCTCTTTGTGGGGAATTTGATTGAAGGACGACAGCTTCAATCCCTTGGTTGAAGACAGCCGTCACAAACATTAAGTCAGCTGGATATTTTGCGTGAGCTTTTTGCAACACAAGGAATAAACATATCTTCACTGTTATGCTAGCAAAATGTATTTGACACTGAAATGTTGTTTTCAATATTCAACAAGGCTTTAAAAATCAAGGTTTAACAACAACACATCTACACTGTTTCTCCAAAAAACTACATTAAGAGTTTGCTCTTTTTTTCATACTCTATCTATTTCTATATAGATTTGGCCACAAAGTGTAAAATATACATTAATATTATATGTTAAAATAATCAACGCTGACATTATGAAGCAGATACAGTAAGCTGCACAAAACTAAGCAATTTATTTTTGCATTATCACTATCACATACATTTTAAGTGTCTCTGGATGAGACTGTTGTTTAGTGTAACATTCCAAAGTGAGAAGAGGTCTTTGTACTGTTGGCGCTGCTCTTCTTACAGATATAGAGGATGTTTTTTAACCTAATGGCCTCTGATGTGGCTAAAGGTTAGCATTTGAGTTCATGAGTTCATGGTTGAAACACTCAGGGGTTAGAGATGTCAATACTGATGCTGAACGCAGCCAAAAACCTTGACATTTCTCAGAAACACTTGTTGTCTACGAACAGAAGTGCAGTTTAAGCAATGGTTTGTTCAGTTTTATACTTAGTGTATTGTTTGACCTATTGTTAATCCTTCCTCTGTATTAAAAAATAGCAACCATAAGTGAGGCTAATACTTTGACATTTAATTATAGGATGTTTAGCACTATTACTTACAAAAACCTCACTGAGTAGTGGCAAGACTACCTTGAAACTCCACTAGCCTCTGGTAGCAGAGCTTTGAGTGCTAGTTTTGTTCAGGACTGGATGAGCATCTGAAAATGTTACTCTTACAATACAAATTGAATACATCTTCATTATTAAGTCTCATCACAACTGTATTTCTTTTGCAAATAAAAGCCATAGCATTTTTTTTCTTCTTCTATACATTGAAACAATGATATTGTGTAAGTGCCCAATAAAGGTTTCTCTAAAAAAAACTGTTATGTTTATGTACGTATTTATAATTTTAACTAATTTAAGGCAGTGGAACAATCAGATCACCTGTCACACAATATGAGCAGAGACAACAGATTGGATTTCTGTGGCTCTGCATGTGCTTCAATAAAAGGTATTGAGAGGCATCAAAGTTGAATGGAATGTAATTAAAAAATTGTCAGTTTCCATAAATATTTGATCGACAGCCAGAATGAAATATACACTGAACAAAAATATAAATGCAAAACTTTTGTTTTTGCTCCCATTTTTCATGAGATGAACTCAAAGATCTAAAACATTTTCTATATACACAAAATAACCATTTATCTCAAATATTGTTCACAAATCTGAAAAAATCTGTGATAGTGAGCACTTCTCCTTTGCCGAGATAATCCATCCCACCTCACAGGTGTGGCATATCAAGATGCTGATTCGACAGCATGATTATTGCACAGGTGTGCCTTAGGCTGGCCACAATAAAAGGCCACTCTGAAACGTGCAGTTTTGCTTTATTGGGGGGGTCTGGGGGGGTCCGAAAACCAGTCAGTATCTGGTGTGACCACCATTTGCCTCACGCAGTGCAACACATCTCCTTCGCATAGAGTTGATCAGGTTGTTGATTGTGGCCTGTGGAATGTTGGTCCACTCCTCTTCAATGGCTGTGCGAAGTTGCTGGATATTGGCAGGAACTGGAACACGCTGTCGTATACGCCGATCCAGAGCATCCCAAACATGCTCAATGGGTGACATGTCCGGTGAGTATGCTGGCCATGCAAGAACTGGGATGTTTTCAGCCTCCAGGAATTGTGTACAGATCCTTGCAACATGGGGCCGTGCATTATCATGCTGCAACATGAGGTGATGGTCGTGGATGAATGGCACAACAATGGGTCTCAGGATCTCGTCACGGTATCTCTGTGCATTCACAATGCCATCAATAAAATGCACCTGTGTTCGTCGTCCATAACATACGCCTGCCCATACCATAAGCCCACCACCACCATGGGCCACTCGATTCACAACATTGACATCAGAAAACCGCTCACCCACACGACGTCACACACGATGTCTGCCATCTGCCCTGAACAGTGAAAACCAGGATTCATCCATGAAGAGAACACCTCTCCAACGTGCCAGACGCCATCGAATGTGAGCATTTGCCCACTCAAGTCGGTTACGACGACGAACCGGAGTCAGGTCAAGACCCCGATGAGGACGACGAGCATGCAGATGAGCTTCCCTGAGACGGTGTCTGACAGTTTGTGCAGACATTTTTTGGTTATGCAAACCGATTGTTGCAGCAGCTGTCCGAGTGGCTGGTCTCAGACGATCTTGGAGGTGAACATGCTGGATGTGGAGGTCCTGGGCTGGTGTGATTACACGTGGTCTGCGGTTGTGAGGCCGGTTGGATGTACTGCCAAATTCTCTGAAACGCCTTTGGAGACGGCTTATGGTAGAGAAAGGAACATTCAATTCACGGGCAACAGCTCTGGTGGACATTCCTGCTGTCAGCATGCCAATTGCACGCTCCCTCAAAACTTGCGACATCTGTGGCATTGTGCTGTGTGATAAAACTGAACGTTTCAGAGTGGCCTTTTATTGTGGCCAGCCTAAGGCACACCTGTGCAATAATCATGCTGTCTAATCAGCATCTTGATATGCCACACCTGTGAGGTGGGAAGGATTATCTCAGCAAAGGAGAAGTGCTCACTATCACAGATTTTTTCAGATTTGTGAACAATATTTGAGAGAAATGGTTATTTTGTGTATATAGAAAAATGGGAGCAAAAACAAAAGTGTTGCATTTATATTTTTGTTCAGTGTATATTTTAATCCCTGAGACACATTTGCTAAACGCCTGTAGTTCAAGGAACAGCAAAAAAAGAACAAATTATAAAACAAAATTAAGAAAAGCCAGTGAAACTCCTCAAATCCATCCCCAAGCATACAGATGTATATTTACTTTAATTTCAACAGTTCAGCTTTGAGCATTGATTGCTATTGGCAGTGGATCAGAGACACCTGCGTTTCAAATCAGATCAATCGCTGTGTTTAACAATAAATACATTTATAATATATTAATTGATTCACAAAAGGATTGTTGTTTAAAACGCTTTTTTTAAATCACATTTAGCAACAATGTGTAGAATTATGTTCTGTTTTCCATGCTGCGATGTCATGCCATATATTTAAACGGCACTTAATTAGCATTGAAAAAGTTTAAAGATCAAAACAAGCAGATTGCAAAAGACCTCATAGTCAATTAAACATACCATAAAACGTGCCACACTATACACATCTTCTACATCTTGTCGAAATTGTGTTATAATTATAAATGTAAAGATCAATTATCATCGCATATTGTTTTTTGATTAGTACAGTTCTTGCTATGATAAGATAACCAAACGGAGATTTTCTCGATGAAGAATTGGCTATCATTTGTATGAAGTTGATTTGACTATGTTTTAAAAGTAGAAAAGGTTACCTAATTAACTAAGACTTTACCATCCTTGACTTTGAGGTTAAGACAGCCACAAACCTAATATATGATTCAAAATCTAATTTGACTGAATTTGAAGTTCTGTTTCTAAAAGGTCAATTGAAATGAAATGACCACATTTAAGAAAATGTGCCAACGAGCATTAATATATTAAATGTGTATTGTCTCTTTACTTAACTTTCATGTCTATAAGCACACTGGTATGGTATTGACTTTTCCTCCCATTCATCATTTGTAACTTACAAGTCAGAGCAATTTCTCACAAACAAACAGTCATGGTAAGAACATATCAAATAAAATACCTGTGATTCCAAGAGGACACTGGCATGTGAAAGAGTTAAGATCATCAACGCAGGAACCTCCATTCTGACAATTCTCACTGAGACATTCATTCACTTCAATCTCGCAGTCATTTCCTTAGAAAAATTACAACCGCACAACATGTTGACACATTGCTACTGCGAATAACCTTACAAAGTATAACTTTGAGAAAGCTTTCACTTACCAATAAATCCAGGTGCACAGAAGCAAATGTAGCCATCGAGAGCATCTTTACAAACACTCAGGGCTCCACACGGCTGTTCTTCACAATCGTCAATGTTTACCTCACAAAATTGGCCTGTTAGCCCTGCAGACAGAGGAAACAGAGTTCTATTGGATTTCTCCATTTCAGAAGACTTTAAAGTGATGCTTGTAGGCTGTAACACCTCATAGTAAAGACCTCACATGATGGCTAGTCTTTTAGGATTATTATTGAAAAGCAAAACAACTATGGTTGACTTTCTTCCTCTCTTTCCTTTTCTTCTAATGCACAATGACAACATGTACAAATACTGTGTTATCAATTAACAATACATATCAAAATGAGCAGTAACTTATAAAGAGCAACGTTTTGTGAATTGGTTCACTGTGATTTGCGATGATGTGTCATTGAAATAAGCAATATGCCCACAATGGCAGGAGTGAAGAAACTATAGGTTACTTACGTAACCCCAGTTCTTAGAGTAACATGAAGTGAGATGTCTCACTATGGGATGTGCCTCATCGCGGAGCAAACAGAAGCATCAATCTCATTACGCCAATCCTGATTGGCTGGTGATCTTGACGTCAGCGTCAGGGAATTCACCCCCTATAAGTAGCTTGCGCCACGACGCATGCGTCATTCAAAATAAGCACCTCTTCTCGCTTCACCATAGCAAGGAGGGCCGTCTGGTGAGACATCTCACTTCATGTTACTCTGAGAACTGGGGTTACGTAAGTAACCTATAGTTCTCATTCATAACACTCCGTTCGATGTCTCACTATGGGAAATTGTAGCTCCCGTATTGCCAGACGAGCTTATCTCAAAAATCACCAACCAACCAGAACTTAACAGGTAGAGTCCCGACTCAACAAGGTGCCCAGCACTGCTCGGGCCACGCTTGGAGCGGATACGTCTAGCCTGTAAAAGCGGACAAGTGAGCGGCGAGGATCAGCTCGCCGCTGCACAGATGTCTTGGATGGAAACACCCTTAACCAAAGCCCAGGATGTAGCCAGGCCCCGAGTCGAGTGAGCCCGCAGACCCGAAGGTGCTTGCAAACTCTGACTCGTATAGGCCAAAGCAATTGCCTCCACAATCCAGTGGGAGAGCCGTTGCTTAGTAACAGGCTTGCCCTTGTGAGGGTTAGCCCAGGACACAAAGAGTTGGTCATTAAGATGAAGCTCCTTTGATCTGTCCATATATGTGCGTAAAGCACGGACTGGACACAACAGATCCTGCTGCTGTTCCCCGGAGGAAACCAGCGGCGGAGGAAATGCCTCAATGTCAATTGGGGTACACGAACCAACCACCTTTGGTGTAAAGGCAGGGTTGGGCTTCAACAACACTCTCGTTTGCCCTGGGGCGAACTGAGTGCATGAAGGATGTACAGAGAGCGCATGAATGTCACTGACCCGCTTGGCGGATGCCAGGGCCAGTAACAGCACTGTCTTGAGTGACAGATGTTTCATGTCAGCTCCTTCCAGGGGTTCAAATGGGGTCATTCTCAGCCCATTTAAAACCACTGCCAAGTCCCATAAGGGCACCAGTGACCTGGAGACAGGGAGGAGCCTGCGAGCTCCCTTCATAAAACGGCAGACCAAAGGATGTTGGCTAGCCGTCTTACCCTCAAAGCCCACATGGCATGCAGCAATAGCAGCCAGGTACACCTTGATCGTGGAGAAAGCTCTGTGTTTATCGATCAAGTCCTGTAGAAATGATAAAATCACCCCGACAGGACATTGAAAGGAGATGTGTCCTTCTTGAAGGCACCACTCCTCAAACACCCTCCACTTACAGTCATAAAGAGACCTGGTGGAGGAAGCTCTCTCACTCTGAATAGTGTTTATCACCTTCTGAGGGAGTCCCACTGTATTCAGATTGTACCACTCACGGGTCAGGCCCATAGTGCCCCGTGCTCTGGGCGTGGGTGAAGGATCGCCCCCCCCCCCCGCCTGAGACAATCTGTCCCTGCGTAGTGGGGGCTGCTATGGCTGCCCGCACAACAGCTGATATATCTCCGCCAGCCCGTACGTTGCGGGCTAGGGCGGAGCCATCAGGATAAGTGTGTGGCGTTGCTCCTTCACTCTGGCCAGAGTTGGGGGTATCAGAGCCAGGGGTGGGAACGCGTACAGAAGACCCGGAGGTCAATCGTGTACGAGTGCGTCCACGCCTAACGGTGCATTTAAATCGTGCATTAAAGAGAACAGCTGTCATTGAGCATTTTCTCTTTATGCAAACATAGTTAACGCGGCTCTGCCGTAACGCACCCACAGCGGACTCACGATCCTTGTGTAGCCGGCGCTACTGTTTTCTGAGGATTAGCTGTCAGATCATTTCTTCACGTGGCTGGGCCGCCACTGGCCCTTTAAGACACACCCCCCCTTCTTTAGTCAGCTGGCCCTTCCATATAAGGAAAACGCGCAGCTGTATGTAGTTCAGCATCTCCCGCTACACTTTAAATGCCCACTCACTCCTCACCCAAATCAGCTGTGACTATTACGAGTGTTCTTGTTCCAGTTATCGTTGTCTGGCTGATAGGCGTGTATTCCCCCTATACGAGGTATGTGAAGCTGCTGTTAGGATTTGTAACATTCAGTGTAGGCCTACCACTGAATTGTTAACATGTGGCCTGTAAATGCCAGGCTTCTTGACAGCCCCAGCAGAGACTGTGCAGAGAATCACCGTTGCAGAGGTGTCCAGTGAGGTGATAATTGAGTGAATGCGTTTGCATCAGAGGTAGGAGATTAATTGTATGTACACTGAAGGACATTCATATAAGTCTTTATACAATTTCTAATCTCCTTTCTCCATTTATTTTAGGATTAGTTTGCTACCGTTTTGCCTACCTTCTATGTTTTGCTTATTGACTAGTTTGTTGTATTGTGTACAAACTAGTGATTTAATCTTTAAAGCGACAGCACCCTCATTGTAACGACCCACTCTGTCCCACAAGGTCTAATACTGTCTCTGTGCTTATACTTCTTCAGTGACGATCCTGGCCATACTGTGGAGTGGAGCATGTGGTTTGCTGGACACTTTTTGCATGCAGATATGGTTGATTTGTAGTGAGTGTTTGATTGAATACAGCTACACGTGGTGATATTGTGGTTTTGGGGAAACCCTCAGCAGTTGGCCAGAAGAATCACTTTTTAACTATCATTATGTGTGATATTGTAATTATTATAGTTATTCTCTCCTTGTCAGAGCCAGCCTTCAATCGTGGGACTTATGTGTGTCGACTGAGAAAGCTGAATAAGTTTTAATTATCGCAGCCCCCCCCCCTCTCCGGTGGGGCAGGTCACACTTGGATATGGAGTCCAGTCTGCATAGAGTGGTGCACCTCTGGACAGTAGTTCTGTCCCGAGGTACATCACTCCTGGTACATGCGTCGCTCTCAGAGAGAGGAGACGTCTGCCGCTCCAAGGGATCAGTTTGTGTGCCAGTGTGTGTGACTGGAGACAACGCAACCTCCCTTGGCGGTTCATACACGATACTGTGGTCGTGTTGTCTGTCCTCACGAGGACATGGTGCCCTCTGAGAGAAGGCAGAAAGCGTTTTAGGGTGGGGAACACCGCTAAAAGCTCCGGGTGATTTACGTGCGCCCGCTGGAGGTCTCTGCTCCAGAGACCCCTCACCGGGCGACCTTCGTAAATACCCTATCAGCCTGTCAGACATGCGTCCGTGGTGACCACCTTCCGTGAAAGGACAGCACCCGTAGGCGCGCCCCGTACTAGAAAAGTCGGGTGCGGCCAGTGGCGTAGTGCCACTACGCATTTCATAATAACCAATACTCTCCGCACGCCGTGGCGCGCGGGGTTTAGTTTTATTATGAGACCCATGTTGAGCAGGTGCTTTACGAGAACATTTGTCTGCGTAATCTGACTCTGCTCGGCGGGCATTATAGATAAAAACCCTCCTTTCTAGGAGAGAGAATCTCTCTCAACAGAATATGGGTTGACTCTCCCCGGGCTTGTGAATACAGATAGCCCGAGAAGCGAGGGGGGGTGACGGTGACTTTGAGTCTGTAGCTCCGTGTAACTGTCTTGAGAAACCCAAGCAGATGTCGTGAGCATCTCCCGCTGTATGCTCCTTAGAGCCAGCTGAGATGTCACGTCTCTTCCCCTCTGAGTCTCTATTTGTTGTGTTATGGGGCCCTCCAGTGTCTGAGCACTGTGGTGCCCTATTTCGACAATCCCCACCGACACAGCGCATGCGTGTGGCGGTGGTGCCCTTACGGCTCCAGCCGGCACTGCGCATGCGCGTGACGGTGGTGCCTTCACGACCCCAGCCGGCACTGCGCATGCGCGTGACGGTGGTGCCTTTACAGCTCCAGCCGGCACTACTCTTGCGCGTGACGGTGGTGCCTTCACAGACCCGTCAATTGTCCGTCCTTTGAGAGAGGCCGTAGCTGCTCTCAGAAGGGGAACAGTTGACGGACTGTTTATTGTTTTTATTGTTTTTCTTTTCATTTTCTCGAGCTGCGCCCTTGGCTCGAAGCCTGGATGCGTCAGCGGAAAATGTTTTATGACAGAAAAATCAATAAGTGTGTGACATGTGTTTATGCGGACTTGAGGATGGTGTTGAGGCATCTCTCGAGGCGGCGGGAACACATTTAGAGCTGGGGAACCGTAGACTTCCAGCTCTGTCACAGAGGGGAGAAGGAGGGGCTGTCACGCCGCTCGCTTCTTCTTCGACTGCTGGCCGAAATTCTGGGTTGGCTGCGCCTGGGCTGCAGCCAGAACCGGAGATTTTCTAGGCCAGCTCGCCCTCGTCCCCTGCCTGGGCTGGGGACTCGGGGCGGACTGCGACCTCTGCGTTTTCAGTATTTTGAACCGAGCAGGGTTCGGGGCAGCTTGGACGAAGGGCTGCCGCTTCGAAGGCAGCGGCTGGGCCCTTCGAGGGAGGCAGAGGTGGAGGGCCTCGTCCTCCTTCTTTTTCGACTCGCATCTCCTCTGCATGGAGGCAAGAGCGGAGCCGAAAATCCCCTCGGGAACGATGGGCATGTCAAGCACATCCTCCTTCTCCCGGTCTGGTAGGTTGGTGAGGTTGAGCCATCTAGCTCTTTCCTGCACCACCATGATCCCCATTGTTTTGCCTGTGGCCTGGACGGCGCAGCGTTGGACACGGAGACAAATGTCTGTGACCGCGGCCAACTCGTCCAGAACGGCCGGTCCAGGATTACTCGACATATCCTCACAGAGCTCCGCTTGGTATGCGGTTAGCAGTGAGGAAACGTTCAGAGCCCTGGCGGACAACGCTGCAGCTCTGTAGGACCGTTCAGTCATGGTCGACTGGAAACGGTCCAACTTCGCTGGCAGCGTGGGGTTCCTGCTTGGTGACGGGCCCATCCTTGGTAGGAGGTGGGCTGCCACCAGCAGTTCCATCAGCGGTATGCGGAGCAGGCCGAGCCTCTCCATACCGTCGCAGTCTAGGGAGGAGGCACCCTGGATTGGGGCCTTGTTGCTAAAGGGTCGGTCCCTCCACGAGACCGACACCTCATCCAACATCTCCGGGAACACCGGGAGGAGTTGCCTCCTTGTCCTCGTTGCTTGGGGAGAATGTTTCCCCTCGTAACGGGACCTGGCGGTCTCCTTGGCCATTTCGGGCCACGGGATGTCTAGCCTGGACGCAGCGCACTGACACGCGGCCTGCAGGTCCATGCTCAGACAGGGCAAAGCTGGTGTGCTATCGCCCGGGAGAGCAGCCATCACTCCCGGCTTTGCCGTTTGAGCCGATGACATGAAGATATCTTCTTCTTGCTCATCCGAATCAGACAGGAGGGACTCAGAGGTGTCCTCTTCGTCCTCCATGTAGTCTAATTCCAGGACATCCTCCGCGGGCGAGACCATGGTGAGGTCTCGCCGGGAGCTCCCGCCTGGTGAGGCGTGGGGCTCCGTTCCCGCGTCTCTTGCCGCCACCGGGTCCCGGCCTGACACGGCGTGGGATCTCGGTTCCGCAGCTGCCGCTGTTAGTGAGCCCCAGACCGACACAGTGAGGGGCTCAGTCTCTGCGGCGGACGCCCCCGTGTCTTGATTGCCAAACGGCGAATCAGTGGACATGAGGGAGTCCTGTTCCAACAAGCTAGCTTGGTGTGCTAGCCGTCGGTGGAGGCTCTTTCGGGTGAAACGGGCACAATGCCCGCACGAGCCAGGGTTGTCGATAGCCTCCTGGGCGTGTTCCAGCCCGAGGCAGGACGAGCAGACCTGGTGTGAGTCTGTGCCTGCTATCTTCAACCCGCAGCCGCATGACCGAGCCTCCGAGTCCCTGACTCCTCTGGTGTGAGGGGGAGAGGCGTCCATCTTGTTCGCCTCGTGGCGTGGAGAGGACCCGCTCGTAACAGGTACGTCGTTGAGAGAAAAGTGTTACCAACCCGTCCTTAATCCGGAGAAAAAGGGACGGTGTGGGTCCTTTGTTCTCAAAGAATATTGACTGGTGTGTCAATATACTTCTAATCCTTTTCTCCTCCGTGAGAGAGAAAAAGAAAAGCGTCCTCGCTACCGTGGTGTCGGTAGTAAGGGGAAGCTAGCTAGCAACAGGTGTGTAGCTAGCTTGAGAAAAATCAAAACCTTACCTTACTTTCCGGGGAAAGAAACGGCGAGGTCGATTTAATACTAACTGGCGTTAGTATTACAGTCTTCTTGCGAAGCAGAAGGAGTAGCCGGCGAGCGCCCGTCAACCAAAATGTTTTGGATTTGGGTTCAGTCTGTGGACTGTTAAGCTTGTCCGGCTACTGTAGAGATGTGCTCTGAAGCGAGAAGAGGTGTTTGAATGACGCATGCGTCGTGGCGCAAGCTACTTATAGGGGGTGATTCCCTGACGTTGACGTCAAGATCACCAGCCAATCAGGATTGGCGTAATGAGATTGATGCTTCTGTTTGCTCCGCGATGAGGCGCATCCATAGTGAGACATCGAAATGTACATTTTAAAGATATTTAAAAAAGTTATTCTGTTGGACAATAAATGTGTGTCAGATGTTTGCTGGAATGAAAAATAATAATAATTATCTTAAATCCAAGTAAAAATAACCAACCTATTTGTTTGTCTTTTTGACAAATCATGACACAATTCATATTGGCCTTGACAGCATTAAAACACAAATTGCCTTGTGGTATATAAAAGATGATTTTCAGCCATTAATTTATGGAACAAACAGTTTGTTTGTTTATATATACATGTATATATAGACAATACTGTAGATGTAGATATATAAGTTTATTCTATACTGAACATTATATGTATAATAACCTTAATTACCTGTGTTATGACCTGTGAATTACTGCAACACATAGAATGATAATAACTAATTTGATCTAATTTCCTATTTAACCTGATTCAATCTTATTGTACAATGCCATCTTAAAATAATAGATTGTAGTGATAGTAAACAATCCCTTTCATAAAGTAGAAGCCTATTAGACCTAAAGTTGGCAAAAAAACATTCCAAACATTCTTGCTGCTTTGAAGTCAGCTCACAACCTGATGAAGTGAGCCCTGGTCCGCTTTTCACAAGGCTGTTACGTGTTGTTGCTTAAGGCCAAAGAGATTAGACTCCCACAGAGAAGGAAACTGAACAAGAGGAAGCATCAAACCGGGAGTTTGACTGCTATATACATGATTCATTTGAAAGAATTTCCTCCATTTGAGTCAAGCCACTGCAAAACGGTGCACCTACCTGGTAAACAATCACACTTGAACCCTCTTGATAGATCCAAACACGCTGAACCATGTTGACATAGGCCATCGACACAGTGGTTTATTAGTGTTTTGCAGTGCGGTCCAGAGTACCCATTTTGACACACACATCTATACGTGTTTGCCAGTTCTTCACAGAGGAGAGTTCCCTCAGGGTGGCAAGGATTTGACACGCATTGGTTCACAGATGAGGAGCACTCATTGCCCTGGTATCCTGTAAGAGGTGGGATCAAAGTAGTGATTGATGTGCGGCGCTCTGTACAGTATGCTCCTGACTTCCAACGTCTGGCACACATCATGGATTGTGATTTCACGTAATGTTGTCATTGCCAGTGTTCTTCCAATCTCTCATTCACATAATATATCCAGCCAGACCCTAAAGCACTAAAACCAAGGAGGGATTTCAGCAACAGTAAACAACCTACAGAAGAATTGTAAATGTGGTTTGCAATTGTAACTAATTTGTGGATTTGTAAATGTGCTTTCTTATGATATTCACTCAGAATTTAAGGCTGTTTTAGGGATACCACATTACAACCATTGAGGGCTGAATACAAACAAAGAGGGATTGATGTTGAATAAACCAAACACTGCATATCCACTGTTGTTAATATGATTAAAACATGTTATTCCTACTCAGCACACTACTGCATGTTGTCATTCTTAGATAGATTACTGTAGCACTGACTAAAGAGCTATATATCAAAGCAAAAATAGAGCTTAACAAAGGTTTTACCAATCTGAAGTATGAAAGGGTTTTAATACCTGGAGGGCAAATGCATTGTATTTTCCCCGCTGAGTTGTAGAAACAGGTTCCTCCATTACTGCACAACTCACCATCTGATGCACACACTGAGACGGATGTGGAGCAATTCTTACCTGTGAGGTAAATACAAATTGTTAATCGAGCGCTATCAAAAAGGACACATGCTAAGAACACATCTCAATATCCTGTCCAACAAATGAGTTTGACCGCTGAGAGTGACAAACATTCATTTGTGTGTTCATTAATGAAGCCAGTAGGGGTGACACAATACAACTGCCATATCTTTGCGCTATTGCAGTTTTTTACTCCAAGCCAAAGGCACACACAATTTATTTGGCCTAGTATTTACCTGAGTACATTGTCACATTACACAAATATTAATATTACCCTCTTGCAGGTTTTGTTTATAACATTTAATGTAACCAATATATCATCTTTTGACCTATTTTTTCCCCCCAAATTCAGAAAAAAAAGACGTATTTTTACTCAATCAGCTGCAGTCATTCTGATTTGGGTAATGAGCTCCTACATTAGACAATGGGGCCGCTTTGATGGTTATCATTTCTGAAGTGTCATCAATCTGCACTATATTCATTAAAGTGTAAAATATGAAAATGATGACACAGATAACTCACCAGCAAAGCCCAAAGGACAGATGCACTCATAGTCTGCAACCAGGTCAATACACGAGGAATTATTGGCGCAGTATCCATGGACACATTCATCATAGTTGATTTCACAGTTAAACCCCCCAAACCCTGGTATGAAAGGAGAAAGAGAAATCTTATCAGTGAATATCAGTCAACACCAGACATGAAAAGATACTAATTAGTATCAAATTCAACCCAAAAGCAATTTATTGCTTTTGTTAAATTCTATATGACTTTTCAATGGGAGCTCATCACAAGTAAAAAGCGTATACATAAAATGGAGGGTTGCTTGCATGTGAATTTGAGGAAATAAAAAAAAAATTATAAAGCGTGACATTTTTGTCATGCCCTTTCATTCGAAAGTTACATCAGTACACTTGAAATTAAAAAAAGCTTAAAGTCATGAAGTAAAAGTGAGTGCTGTCAGTTTCTGACATTTTAGTCCCCCATAAACATATTCCACTGCATGGTCACGCTACAAAATGACTATCATTAGCTCTGTCACACACTGCAGCTACAGGAGGCCCATGACTAATGCTCGGCTATCAGCACCATCGGTGCAGGTCAAATTCTCATCATTTCTCAAACTGACCATGGAACCAATTTCCACCTCTCTCCATGTCATAAAATTTGACAATTATCCTGACTTCATTAAAAATGCATAACAGGTTTCACCCGCACTCATGGTTTAATGAGAGGTATGTCTCGCAGGTAAGATGTCAACTGGACCAAGAAATTATTGGAAAAATAGCTGAGATTTATTCCCTGTTACTCTAATGATGCGAGATACAATTTCTGATAGAATAATGTTATGCGATCAGAGAAATGAAAGGCAAATATCGGTTATCCTTTTGGGGATTGAGCTGAAAGCAAGTACAAATGGATTATTGAAAATCATGATGAATTAAGCAATCACGATCAGATGCAAGAAAACAAACCTCTTTTTGAGAATTCACAGGTTTTCATTCCAAGAAAACACTAAAACAACTGATTAGTTCATATGCTTTGGCCGAGGTTTTATAATCAGCAAAATCACCTCGTATGTTTGGTTTGGACAACATTCTGTTTACTTTCAACCTCTATTGCACATGCTTGTACAGGTACTAAGATAAACATCATTTTGACGTCAAATCGAATGCGAAAAAGAAGATAATGGCGAAGACTGGTTGAATGCTTATACATTCCCCAATTCAATGGAGGTGGTTATCTAGGTTTATTTTTTCAGAACATATTGCGGAAAACCGAGTCTCCAAATAAGAAATAGTCGTCTGCGATGTGCAGGAGGTAATCTATTTGGATGGTAGTAATAACTTGTGAATGTTGAATGTTCTGTTTTGTTATGGTTCAGATATACTGAGGAGATTTTCTAGCAGACTGAAGAGGGATGTTTCAAATCAATTTTCTGCATAACTGAGTTCTTGAGTTCAGAATGTTAAAGTAATTGGTTTGAAAAAGATTCACATTTATATTGAAATAGAAACATGGTCCATTATCATTAAGATCTGAGTGGCAACATATTTATTTTATAAAAAAAATAAAAATGATATGAACAAACTTTCATTTTCTTTAACAATTTGAGACTGTGGACTGAAAGAATTGGAACCAAGTAGGCTTCCATAATAATTGTTGATGTAAATATTGGATATATTGGGCAAATGGGATTTAGTAACAGTGCTCAATATTTGAGATGAAACTGCAATAGGGGATGTGATTACGTGGTTTCATAGTTGATCCTATCCATCTATGATTCGTATACCTACAGTACTGTGATAGTCAAAGTGAAAAAGGCTGTGGCTACATTTGTTTCGTATAGTTTCTTCTATTAGAGGGTTTTTTTCCTTGAAAGTTTGTTGAACATCGGCACCAAATGGAAGTCAACCTTGTTTCTAGATTCAAGTTGTTGCTGCAATGTAACTAAATCAAAGTCTTTTCATTTCCGTTTGCCCATTAATCCACCGTAATAACAAGGCATGAGTGTAAAAGTGTTTCTGAATAGCTATTTCATCTCAGCCAAGGTCATGTCTCCAGGACTGAAACCGGTTGGTTGCACACTTTAAACACCAACAAAGGACTGAATTAGCCATATAATCGCATTGTCTGGACTATTGGGGGGGTCTAATTGTGTTTCAACTTACCCTCTGAGCAGAAGCACTGATACAGGTCAATGCCGTCCACACACATACCCCCGTTCTGGCAGGGCTTTGAGTCACACTCATTGAGATTTACTTCACATAATGATCCTCCAAACCCTGCAGCATATGTAGAAAAAACCCGTTATTGAAATCCTTTGTGCCTGGTTTCATTCCTCAGCCAATTAGGGTCAGCATGACTTTGTTTTCACAAACAAAAAGGTGTTTTTCAAAGCTTGTATTGATTCAAAGAGCTTGCTGGGCACATGAAGACTCAGCTCACTGGATCATTTAATCATGTTTAATAAGAGCCAGTCATTGCCCTTTTGATTTATTGCATTAAACAAGCCAGATCCAGTGATTTTTAAGATCAAAGTCAATCTATATACAAAGGGAACACCATAAAACAAATAATATGCATCAGTGAACATGTGTAAATGCACTTACACAGACACCCACACACAGGCCATTACAGAGAAGAAACATGTCAGCGTTTAAGGCACATTATTGCCGGTGCTACACAGGCTGTTTGTGGGTTAACCTAACACTTATCTAACAGAGTATTTGTTTTGTGTTTGCATTGTTTCACACAGTCAGCCAAGGACTAAAGATTAGGATCCTTAGATGCTCTTTACAATTAGGAATGTGGGGGGAAAAATGAATATAAAGAAACTGTCAGAATAAGCAGTTTTACCTAAAAACAATACTGTAGGGCAAAACATAAGCAAGAAAAACCAAACAAAAACAGCTGCTGTATTGCCAAAACCTGCAGAATGACAAAAAGGGTCTCATGCCAACTGGGTCTTTTGATGAAACAACCGCTTTTGGAGTTACAATTATCTAATGGCAAAACTAAAATAAGGCTCGCACTGCAAACTTGTTCATAAATAAATAAATGTTAAGCAAAGAGATACTGCTGTCAAAAAACACAAAGGTAAGTATTGTCTCTGAAAATCTGCTTTTCAGGAGCGTTTACCATGTGAAAAAACTGGCAAGAATGTTGTTAATAAAAGGTTAGTACTGTATTTCTAGAATAATTAATACAAACACAACATCTCTTATTTTAAATCGATGAAACGTATTAAATTCTAGCAAAGGATTTGGTGTGAGGAATAAATAATGCTAGGTCAGAAAGTTGACAACGTGGGACAGGAGGGAGGGTACTGTATGAGTTACATGTTTTGCAACACATTAGGTTGGCAAGCATGAGATAATACAGATGCCAAGACTGCTGACCTGAAACATCTAGACAAGACAGCTTCTTACAGTTTGCCCTTGAGAAGTGATCTGGGAAAGCAGCTCGCCGCAGGGTTGCTTTCATTTACATAAAAAATCACTCACAATCCTTCAATTTGACATCTGCCGAGCATAAGTGCAACAGGAGTAATGAAGTTAGGGTTATTGATTGGGTTACATGAACTTCTATGCAATAGCCATTCATTTGCAAAAAGAGATAGTTGAACTGGAGTGGAGTAGTGTCGACTGAATTATGATCGGGCTGGCAGGAAACATTTTTATCATTTCAAGCACCGTAGCTGTGTCCAGAAATAAGCTGCATGCTGTCCAGTGCATGTACACGCAACTCTTTACTGGTCCTCTGTCACTTACCGCACATATATCCTTGACTTGCAAGAGTCTGAAGCCTGATTACCCCTGGCAAGCCGTGGAGTTCCTAACAGGTCAAGCCTCTTCCTCTTACTCCTGTGTTATCCCTGTCACTTCTGGCAGCTACTGCTGTGATAATACTGTCATCCTCGTGGAGGGGAATCAGCGGGACTTGACTGACACACAAACAAAATTGTTTCTTTCTGCGGGAGCTGTCAAATTAATCTGTGAAAATCAGCGTAGGATTTTCAAATGGTTATAAAGGCGTGAAAATGTTTTCCACCTATTCTTTTTACCTACTGTGTGATGCAGAAAGACAACTTAACACAGCAAGTACAATAAGCAAGTTTACTTTTGGATTTATAGACAACTAAACATTCACTGAAGCCGCAGTATGTACAGCCACCTATTCCTTTTAGTAAAGTGACCTTGAAGCATGACATATTTTATGATTTTGCGCCTGTTAATATACCTGCATGCTACATTTTACACCCGTTAAAGGTCCTGCTCACCTCTTTTACACGTGCAAGAAACATTCTGTCCATCCTTGGTCTCACTGCATATTAATGTATGTTCACTGCAGAGTCCAAATGAGCAAAGGTCAATATCCACAGAGCAATCTTTCCCCTTGAACCCTGCAATGAAAAATGAATTAACAATAAGGAATTTCAAACAAGTGAAACCTTGGGAAGTAAGAAACAAGGAACGAATTCATAAAACAACAGTTACACACAGTGCCCAACATATTTATGTGGCTGCATGTTTTATGAGGTAGAGACACCTTTTCTATAGCGGATTAATGGGGGTATTGATTTTTCCCCTAGCAATCTACCTGCTATGCAGTATGCTAATTGAGTGAATCATTGACAGAGACCCACCCTACCAAACTGATCTATATCACATTTATCTGCCCCACCAAATGCACGCCTGAATGTCACTGATAGATACCCGTGTCAATATCTATTGTTGTAAATAAAGCACAGGCAGATGGTGAGAGGGATACTCATTACATGTGTTTGTACAAATACAGATGAGTTAAAGGGAGAAGACTAAAATAGATTACTGTGTTTTTCCACTGACATCACACCTTTAATAATGGGGGTCGGGAAAAAAAATGCAATTTACTGTCATATTCACAGAGATGGATTGAGGCCGAGAATATCTGATTTGTGACAGCAAAATACTTGAACAACTAATTTACATGAATAAAGGCTCTAAAGAGAAATATAACTCAATTAGGTCACCCTTCTTAGCAACCATCTACTGTACTGAATATAACAGATAGAGTAGTTACCAAGTTAGTGTGTTGTATAAATCATGTAGTTTGACGAATAACCATGTGTCTCTCTGCAACAGGTAGGTAGTCAATTTATGACCGGTAGAGACTAAACCCATATTTAATGTTCTAATTAATTCTTGAATGAATTTCCTACTTATTTTATCTATTTGTTTCTGTGTTAATTGTTCCTGCTATTGATGGTGTCAGGGTTTTATGTTGCCGTTGCTCGTTCTGAATTGCCTGATGGATGTCTGCATAAAATACAAAAAATAACCTCTTGAATCGTTCGCTTCTAAACATGAAGGATGTATCTATATCTCCTCCACATTCATCTGTATGCAGCCTGCAAAGTAGGTCTCACTCACTGGCAAAGGAGTGAAATATTTCAAACATCACCTCCTAATGCAAATCCCTTTTATCAAGACTTGAATATACCCACAAGACAGCAGCTATATTAGATTATATACTTCCTGTTATACGCATATTTTACATCAACACATCTATCTGGATGCTTGATGACCTTCCTACTACCCTTTTCTCATCATATTATGTATTGCCTGGACTAGTTAATGGACAGCTATTGCCTCCAACAGAGTGTTTCAGAAGTGTTTAATAACCAATTGTGCATGCAATTCACTCTGAGGTTAATGTTGCATGAAGGAATGTCACATTTACAGTGTCACCATCTCCAAATGTGACTCCCTGTTCTATCTCACAGCTACTAGAGGCTCAGCCCAATTCTGCTGCAGAAACAAAAGGTGAGACTTTTCACTTTATTCAAAATGTAGAGTAGTTAGAAGACATACTTTGATGTGTTTTTGAATAGCTTAAAGCCAAGTCCTTATAGCCATAGTCAGAGGCTAATGGTTACAGCCGTTGGTCATAACTGTCCCTCGGCTCAGAGAACTGTAGCACATCAGCACATTTAGTCATCTGTACATCACCAACGTTATGTCTGCTTCACTGAGAAACTGAATATAATGTTTCTGGGTAAAAATCATCACATTCAGTTAAATACAATGGGACTAACTGTTTATATAACCTTATATGAGCTTGTGTTGCTCATTACCTCAAACCAGAGTTCCTGGCTTTATTCTTTGCAAGTTAGAAAAGTAAATACTGTACAGAATGTAATGAAATGTAGGGTGAAGTTGATAGATCATTTAGAGAATCATTAGTTTTCAGTATTGGTTGAAACAGAGAATTGCAACATGCTCCCTTATTTTAAAGCAGCATCACATTCCCCTGGATTATATAGTTAAGGCAACATGAATACGTTTGGTTCATAAAGCATTTGGATTAGCCAGATTCAGGTGACAAACACCAATCTATTTTCCCTTGTGTTGGCTCTAAACTGTGTGTCCCTGTAGCAGTTGAATAATGTCATAATTACGAAATGTGACTTTAAATTGTGACTAAGTTTAGATGACATGCACATTGTAAGTGTCGCTGCAAAATTACACATTTAAATGGTGTTAACTTCACGGTCACGAGTCTGACGCATTTTCCAAATAACATAGCTGCAAAGAAACATTAGCATAATGGCCATCACTACAGTGATTGCGTGTTTTGATGCAAATCCAGGTGCAGATTAAATATTTGGATTTTTGTGTTACCAAGACAACACATTGGCTGAAAGATCCCTAGAAAAACTGCAAACTGCAAAGAGATACTGTACTGTAGATGCAAACAGTGAACTGTGGTCAGGTGAACAGGTCAGAACTCAGGATGGGAGAATAGTTACAGCCCAGAGTTGCTTCTTTTTGTATGTGTTTTTGTAGGCCGAAGCAAACAAACCTGACAGACCATGTATCTAATTGAATTTTCGAAAAGAAAAAATGAAAAACACCCTTCTATAAATCTGTCAATGAAAATCAAGCAGTAATGGAAGCTTTACTGACACATTGGTGTTCTGTTTTGGCCCAAATCGAATTTGAGCATAGGGCAGAAAAACTAATAAGAACATATGATTTACAGTGATGCATTTGCTGTGTCCATAATGTTGTAAAAACACACCATGAAACAGGTGCTGCACGTGTTTCAAGGCCGTAAATGTTTAAATGACTTCACCCACATGTTGTTCTGATTTATTGTCCCGTAAAATAACAGGCAACTTTCCTAAGGGAAAGATACCTAAAACAAGATGCACCGTGAAAACCCAACAGCAGAGATATTGTTTCACTACATCACATTTAAACAACTTAAATATGAGGGGAGACTTTCAAAATAATACAAATATAAAAGCTTTCCAGCATTAAAACGTCCATTTCTTGCATCTTTGTGGAATATATTGAGAGAATAACTAGCAAAACAGAACTAGTTCCCAGTCCCAGAGTGTGTTTTGTGTCTGGTCCACACCTATGTTTTGTGGATTTATATGTGAAATATTTGCCTGTACATCATGTTGTGTGGATTCTGGCTGTTTACTATTGAATGTGACATTGAACTGTGGCATTCTGACTTGTGCAATCAAGTAGTGATTAAGTATTTTATTACCAGAGGGCAGAGCAAAATCAGCTGCAAACTGAGAAAGGCAACACCACCCTCTATTATGGACTGATTATGGATCATTTTCTGAAAAACATTTTAAGCTTATAGAAATATGTGAATCAGGGTGTCACTTGATGAAAGGGCAATTCTGTGATCTCAGTCTAATTTGAAGACATTAACATGCATTAATACTTGGCAACATTGAAAACAGAGTTGTTTTCTTCCTGGTCAAATTTAACCTTGAATCAAAACAATTGAATGAGAATAAATCACCTCAACCAATAATAGAGATGTACTACTTCCATTAGCTTCTTAGAGGGCCTTTTCATATTCTTATTTAAACTATTATTTAGCCTTCATTCAAAATGGTGTAACTCATCCTTCTTGCCTTTGCTATTTTATAGGAGAAAACCTTGAACCATAACATACATATGTACATGAAAAATAAACAACTCCTACCATACAAATATACAATATATTGTACAAATGATTAGCATGATATTTATGTAAAAAAATGCTCAAAAATAGACAAGTATTAGGCACTTACCAACAGGACAGTGACAAATATAGTCGTTTACTAGATCCTTGCACAAGCCTCCATTCAGACAAGGCTGCGACCAGCAGTCATTTACATTCTCTGAGCAGGTCCTTCCTGCAGGACGAGGAGAGAAATAATAAACTCTAATGTCACAGGAACTACAGTTTAAAATTTGTTTCAACCAATACGTTTTTCTGTCACTGTGGTAATTTCATTATTATTGAGTCGTTAAGCTCTAGTATGTGAATAATATTTCTAAACACATTCAGAACATATGCAGTTCAATTTCTGTTTATTTTCTAAACAAGGACCAGCATATGGTTTATTGGTGAAAGGGTTTTATTTCATGGGGCAGCTGATTGCCTCTGATTCCATTGGCTCAAAATGTGATTGAATGATTATGCGTTCAGCATGTTGCAGCTTGTATGTATGCAGAAACGGTGTAACCTCAATTTTATTACCCTCTAGGCCAGAGTTAGATAGGGAATTGATTCCTGATTTTACCAACAAATGTAATGCTTCACTAGGCCTGGCCTCTGGCGATATTTCAGACCTCTTAGTTCTCTGTGAGCTGGAGTGCTCATAGAGAACAAACAGCCTGACGTCCTCAGGCTCTCCTCATCGATGTGCACGGCTGTCTACACCAAAGGTAATTGTACCTTTTCCAACAGGACCCCCAGGCAGACACTGGCTTGTGCTGTATTAATGATATACTGTAAGATACTCACATAATCAAGGTAGCTGCTGACTGTAACTCCAGACTAAATATACTGTACTGCACACGCTCAGATGCACAGCCAGATCGTTATGGCAGCCAATAATAATTCATTTAACTGCTTAAACCTTACTGCACCACTTTTCAATGTGGACATTTTCATCATACAAGATTGGTAATATTAACAATCGACAATGTGCCAAATGTCTAAGTTATAGTCAGACTTACTCACAACTCTTGTATTGTTTTAACAATTTACTTGATTTTGATTTGGCATAATGAGATAATATAGAAGGGACTTTTCTTTTTACATGTGCCAACAATAATATAATTCAAATTTTCCATGATATCAACAACTCAACGTGGATATTTCCCCTGACCACTTATACATATCAAACATCAATGGAGAAGCTCTACCTTATGGCCAACAATGGCAAGACAATTCTGATAAACCTGCATTTTGAATATATATTTCTCTCAAACTGTATACAAATATGTCTCTAAAACTTCTTATTCCTGTGAAGGCGTTAAATGGCAACAAATGTTCTCTCGTTCATTCACAATCATACGGTCTCATACCCTCAAATCCTGGGGGACAGTGGCACCGATAATCACTGATCAGGTCCACACAGGTGGCGCCGCCTGCACAGGGGAAGCTGTTGCACTCATTTATGTCCAGTTCACAGAGCGACCCTTCAAATCCAAGCATGCAGCGGCAGGTAAAGTTATACTGCTGGTCTAGGCAAACGCCATGTTCCGAGCATCGATGGCCAACACAGTAATCAATGTCCTCTTCACAGTAGACGCCGGCGTACCCTCTGGGACAAAGGCAGCTAGCAACAGATTAAAGAGAATGTCTTAATACTGTAGAGGTAGAGGAGTTATTTCAACCCCGAAGGAAGAAAACAGTAAATGTCACAGCTTTTTACAATCATTGACATTCTTGTGTCTGAATGGCCTTGAGACAATCGAGATTTGTACACTCACCTACCTGTAACCATCAATCGCATCCACACAAGTGGCTCCATTTCGACACCAGTGTTGAACACAATCATTGACATTGATACGGCAGTTTTGACCCGACCAACCAGGTGTACAGATGCAGGTGTAGCTTCTGGAATCATTCAACACACAGCGTCCTCCGCTGGCACAAGGCTGTTGATAGAAGGGAGAGCTGTTAAGAGACGTGTTGTGAAAAATGATGAAAATATGAAATGACTTCATCTTCTATGGTGATATTTTAGATTGCAGTGCTGTTCAAAAATATAACCATTAGTTTACAATGCAAGCCCTAATTGTTTCTTGCTCCTGGCTGCCTGAAAATGAGCTCCATTACAGCCACATGACACACTCATGAATACTGATCAATGCTTTATACTGGGTACACTCAGTATTCCATGTAGCGTCTACATCATGTCTTACAAGACAAGATCAATGGTCATTGAGGGCTAAACCTCCCAAGAGTTTTCAATAACAAAACAGATACGCCTTCTTGCTGCTACATGTGTGTATATATATAGTGGAGGGGAAACAAAGGGGCTGAGAAGAGCTGGCTTGTGGGAAGGAGGATAATGCAGACATCATGGCATTTCTGTACGGGGGCCAACACAAGGCTTTCTCCACAGTGAGTGATCATCTCCATCTGTCATCTGAAGAGGCTCATCTATTTTTTTCAAAAAGCTTTTTTTTAACTGCAGAGGGTTGATTCATCTATACCTAAAGAAACCAAGCATTCAAAAATACAGACATTGCTAATCTCCAGTGGCACTCATCCGCGTCAGGTGGCAGAGGCCTTTTCAGTCCTGTAGATGTGCTCGCCTGCTGTATGCCAAAAGCAGAAGCCCTGACAATCACATCATTCCAGCTTTGTCTGCTTCCACCATGACTGCTTAAAAAATCTGGAGGATGTGCTACAACATTCAAAAGTAAAAAGAACCAAAGAAATCTTCAATATACAGTACTGGGAATACATATTTTGTTCAACCCTATAACCAGTATTTTTGTAATTAGAGTCAGTGTTTGGTCAGCATCGTTTGGTTAACTTTGTGTTTTGGTTCTGTTATGTTTGACACAACAACATGTCAAATGCATGAATACAAGTCACAAGAAAGCAGGGAACTCACTCATTAGTCAATCATTTAATACAGCTCTTTTTCCACACCAACATACTGTACAACTTCAGCACCAGCTGATTGCTGTGTTTATAGATTATCGCCTTTGCTGTCAATCTTCCTATGGGAGTTATGCTTATTTATATCCCTGTGTATAACAAAGGCTTATGCCACATTTTAGAAATAAGATACTGAAATCATTTTGGATACCTTCGCACTGAAGTCCTCAATGTTATTTCTGAGTTCTGACTCACAGTATGCAGTTATTTTGAAGGTTACTCTAAATAACTATAAGTATTCCTACTTTCTTAAAGTTAGCAGTAAAAGACAGAGCTTTCTGCATTTATATTCAATCCATTGGATTAAGTTCTTAGGCCAAAGGGCCTAACTGCTCACCTAAAAATGAGTCCATCATTTAAGATGACCCTGACGACATTAATGTGATCGTTCTATCATGTGCGTTATGTGTTCTTTTGTGACACAAATCATCAAAGAGAGTGCCGCAAGTCCTTTTAATACAAATTACATGAAAAGTCATCATTATTTTGCTTGTCATGGTTCCCTGCTGTTTGCTGCACTGCTGTTGAGAATACAATGACATTGCTGCAAGAGATATAAACAGAACATTTGGGAGCTCTTTAAACATGTACAGAACTTAAGAGGAACACTTAACAAAACAGAAAATGAGCACAAATAGACCGTTAACATGTTTTACCCACTTGAAGGGTTTGAGGGCAGGGAACGCGGCAGGCATATTCAAGGCCACCTGGGAGATCCAAACACTCTGTCTTTGGTGGACATGTGATGTTGGGTAGGGAACAGGCATCTATGTCAACTTCACAGTTTCTTCCCAGAAATCCTGAAATAAAAAAAATGAATAACAGTAAATGTGACTCATGTAATACTTGACTAGACCCACTGCACACCCTTTCTTATTAATGTCACTCTACCAGGTCAGCCCTTGTGTATGTCTGATAAAAAAAAGCACATTTTTGGTTGAGTGCAGGATTGATCCTGTTTTGAAGCATATTGGATGAGGTAGAGTGCTTCCCTGATTTTGTAAATAACTTAAGCCTTAATTAAATAGTTAAAGAGCACATATTATGCCCAATTTCGGTTTCATACTTGTACTTTTTTTTGTAAAGAGATATATTTTGTCCGTCTGATAAACCTGTATTTACCCTGTGTCAATCTCTTTATGGCCCTTCTGCTAAAAAAAGCTAAAATGGAGATCTCAAGACTTGAATGGAGATAATCAGATGAAGGATGATATATTAAAATGAACATGCCAGGTATGAATGGTTTGTTGTATCCCATGTTTTCTGACCTAGGCGACCCACAAAAACTGAATTGGGTGTCTTTTTTAAAGCTTGTGGGTTGGTAGGCACTCCAGATAATTAAATCATGTGCACAAGCACAGAAAAGTCTGTTTTTCATGATATGTCACCTTATTATTTAATCAAACCTGCTCCTTGAGCTCTTTAATTTTAGACTCATTATGTAACCATTATCAGATTTAAAAAAGGGTTAGTTAAAAAACAGACACTTTTTATGAAAGGTGGTTTGATTTGAAATAGTTAAATGGATACCTAAACTAACATATCCTAAATATGTAAGCTTTAGGAGATTGTAGTGTGTGCATTCAACATTGAGTTGGTAATATATTCAAGGGGAGGTAGTGCTTGGAAAAAAAGAAAGTGGCCAAAAACAAATAATTCCACACATTTTAAGACTTTGCTCGGTACTGGGGTCCGGCACTCACCAGACAATTGTCTTTATTGTAAAACTTACTTTACCCTGAGAAGATGAAGCAGATGAGGCATATGAGCGGAAGAGGCTTAGGTTTGCTGAGATAACAGATGGGATTTAGTAGTAAGCCTGGAAAGCCAGGACATGCCCTGAGGAATTTTGTTACCATGGATCTGTGGCCACATCTAGTAGCAGTTTACTTAGTGAGTTAGGGATTCATGATCAGGGATTAGGGCTGGTTGCATAGACATCTTCAGAGGCAGCTAAAAAGAGCAACCGATGGTCGTGTCTGAAAAATATCTATCCCGTGTTTAAGAGCAAATATCAGTGTCAACTCAGTAGTCAAACAACACTTTATACTCGCTGCATTATCGTTTTAGGCTTACTGTTGATATTAATAGTAAGAGGGTGAATACAGTCATTGTAGGAACATGTGTAATGTGAAATTAAATCTAGTATGATCACAGTAACTGAAAATCACAAAAAGCGTCAGAAGACCGACTTGATGTTTTACGCCAAAGATGTATTGGAGCTCGGCCAAGGAGAGCAACACAGGTGGATTACAAAGCTGTAGTCACGGTGTACGCTGCCATCTATTGTGAAGCTTCACCTTTCTCTCTGGGTATTTATATTACGCTGAATGCATTACATAAGCTCCAACTAATATGGCTATTATCTGCAAATCTAGGCAGGTGGCATAACACCAATGGGCCATAAATACCAAAACATGGTTACCTGAAGATTACCGAAATGAAACTAAGAAACCTACATTGTGATGCTTGAATAAGGGGATTAATAATTCCTGTAGTAAAATGTATGTTGCTAAATAAAGTGACAGGCCAATGTGTATGGGAACAGTCCTGATATGTGCACTGAGCAGGTGTAATGGGGGCGGCACATAAGGACTGTTGAGCCGTCTGGTGTCTAATTCAACTTGACATCTGTGATGGGAGGTTCCAATTCAATAACCTGAATGACATTCCTCGAACATCACAGCCAGATTAACACATATACGCTCACCCAAAAAGCACAAGGGAAAGTCATGTGATGTATTCGTATAAATTGTAACATCCAAATTTAAAAATGTATATATTTATTTGTAACACTGATCAGAAGGAAATGGAATGCATTTATATTGTACTTTTTCTAGTCTTTGCGAGGCTTCAAAGTGCTTTTCCATATACGAGTCAACGATAACCCAATTACACCCTTTCACACAGAGGCTGCCACACACGGTGCCACCTGCTGAGGTGGGCTATCATTTACACACCGTTGGCTATGCCATTGGGAGCAATTTGGGGTTAAGTTTATTCCCTGGGGATAAATTGTCATGTTGACTGCAGGGGCTGGGAATTGAACCCCCCGACCTTCCGATTAGACCACTCTACCTCACAGCCACAGCTTTCTCAAAGATGAAGATAACAATTGCTAACAGGTGATGTAAGCTTTTTGTGATGTTTTTTACAGGAAATTCCCCATTGCCTTTAAAGAAGGACTTTTATGATAACAAGTGCTTATGACGTGAGGTTTCGATGATATTGTTGCATTGCTGTCTTTAAAATTGAAGGCCTTCAAAATAGTTTGCAAGTTCTTCCTGTGTCGGAAAAGGTTTCCTCCCTATGTCAGTGAAGTGATCTGGAAACTCGTGATTCCCTGTAGGAATGACTTTGTTTTTCTGTCTGTGTTTTTGCCCTGAGATCGACTGGCAATCTGTCCAGGGAGTGCCCTACGTCTTGCCCGATGCAAGAGCATCCATGCCCTCACAACCGTGAACAGGCAGATAAATTGATGCATGGTTGACTCCTTGAGCTATCATTCACAATCTTTGGAACTATGGAGAATTGCGCCCCAGACACTTCAAGGGCTGACACAATTCATCAGCTGATGAAAATACCAAGCCACCTCTGAATGTCACCTCAAATAGAGACTCTAATGTGGCTTGCATCAGCAGCTGATGAGGCGAACAGCCTCTACAACCCATGTGTCATTAACACTGATATTGTCCTTTAATGTTTGATTTAACAAGAGTGAACAAACAAAATGTTACATTTCCCTAAAGAGCCAAAAAACCTTTCCTGAGAATGGCTAAAAATAACAGCTTCAGAATCTTGTGAGAATAACTTCATCTGGCCACTAAGACGCTGTGCCCACACTGCAGTGAAATGTTCCAGGAAAGTGGGCAAGAGCAACTGCCAGACAAACTAACTGTGCCCTGCCAGCAACACCAAGCTCCCCGAGTGGTCCATCAGTTAACGTTCAGTGAATGTAAATTCAGACTCTGTAAGCAATTACAGGAAAGTGTTATTAATGGGAGTGTCATAATATAATATTATGACACTCCCTTTAATATATTTTCACAATTTGGTTGCATTATAGAGTTTTGGCAATGAGCGTGGTGATTTTGTCTCCGCTGTTCATCACAGGCCAAGGCTGTACACTGATACTGTGAATAATGTGACAAAGTCCCTGGCTCTGGCTTGCTGCCTCTGAAAGGCACAATAGAGCATGTTGAGACCAGTGAGAGACCTTTCATAATGGGTTTTATTCAACTTCTGGTTTTAAAATAAAAATAAATGTATAGGCTTTAATGAAAATGTGTTAGATTTAATATATTCCTTTTACTAGAATGTCATGGGAAGATGTTCTTCTGACTATGGAAAAAAGTTGTTGCTAAAAGCATGTAAACAAGCCAATGTGAGAGGGCGTTCACATGAATTTCCATTGGGAAACAAATCCGTTTAATTATTCCCCCACCACATGAATGCAGCACAAATCTCATATCCAAAACATTAAAGAAAGTAAATTGGTTAATAGTTTGTTTATCTGCCCAATCATTTGGATCAACATTGTATGTGTTGCTCTTTGAAAAATGCAACACTCTTCTACTAAATGTTTCATTAAAATTGGGCAAAATATATCTTATTTTGTGGAGGCTATGGAAAAATAACCCAAGAATAGAAACAGGTTTTTAATTAAAAAGGGTAAAAGTAAGAAGTGTGATTCACATAAGGAATTAAATCATGCTGACTTCTCTATCTTAACTTCTTCAGGCAGGAAGTACAGCCTAGGGTCCCCGCTGGCAAGGACTAATCGTTGTTAGTTTAGTACTCTGAGATGGCTAAGGCCACATCCACTGCACACAAGGGGTGTTTCTCAATGTCGAGGACGCTTCTTTGATAGTGCGATTTCCACCAACGATTTTGGAAATTCGTCCGGGCGCAAAGCATTGTGGGAATTTTAAGACCGCGGAGGATACACATGTGCAGCCTTGAAATTTCCCGCAACGAAGGACGCCGGCCTCGGTAGAATTCCAAGGATCCTGGACATTGGAACAGTCCTTTGGCGGGACTCGATGACGTAGCATCCTTGAAATAGTAACACACAAGGTCTGCAGCACGGCCTGCCATCACAGCTGATACAGATATCACTTAATTGTCATTACAAATCCCTCGTTTTGAGAACAGCCCAACCTACCTGCAGGACATTGGCATTGGTGGTGTCCTAACAAGTCAGAGCATGTGCCATTGTGCTGACAGGGACTGGAGTCACACTCGTTAATCTCAGTCTCACAGTTCGTTCCTGAAAAGAAGGTAAAAAAAACGTTTTAATTAGTTGAATTTGTATCGGATAACCCTTTTCACAAAGAGCTATTTTTGACTGTTAACATATTGCATATTTCAAATATTACTGTGCCAAATGCCCCTTTTTCTTGTATGAATAGAACACATGTACTGACCATATTTAATAAGCAAGTGTTCGCCAAACACAGTTATATTTCCTGTAACACATTCCTTTTCTTTTTCAGGGGCTCATTATCTGAGTCCTCAAGGGCCTTACTAAAGGAATGTTATGCGGCCTAATTATTGTTTAAGAGTAGGCGTTGCATAAAGGCTGAAAACCAGGGAGAACAGCTACTTTGGCCCTGTCCAAAAAATACTAAGAAACCAGCCTACCAACAACAGCAATAAGCACTAGATAACTGATTTGTATAATCAATGCAAGTGTCATTACAGCAAATATACTGGGGTTAGATGTCTCTTGACCTCTTGACTAGGAATACAGACGACCTGCAGTCTTTAAATCACTCCGACGTTGATATGTAAGTGTTGGTAAGCATAAATAAATGCATAAATAAATATATAAATAAATGTGTGTGTATATTTATAGCCATTTCCACGGCCTGCAACTAATTGGCAGTAGATTAACTGTTTGCATACAGATACTAGAGTAGAATAAATTGTACTTGCTGTTAGGGATTCATTTTGTCTTTACTTAAGATATTTGACCTTTCGGCCTGTTGACGTTTTACGACCGAACCCTAAGTCTGTTATCTGTCTTAAGGAATGGGAAATCTTTGCTATTGCCTGACATTACCAGTTTTATGACCGGTCAACTCTCGGTCACAAGAGCCATAGAGTCAGATAAAGTGATTCAGTGTCTCCAGGTGTTCACGTATACCTTCCCCCAATATGCTGATTAGCTTTCGGTAAACTAGTTAAAGGGTCTACCAAGATGCGAGGCTGATCAGAATTGACATGGCAACCCACCCGTGCAGTCAGAATCTTTGACTGTGTGACTTGTGATGTGAAATTCTCCGGCCGATGCTTGTATTAAATCCCAGTGTTTGACATCAGAACTCCTGCTCGTCCTGTGTCTCTTTCATGAGTCGGTGACTCCCACTGCATTGCTACACAGAAGTTTCCCTTACACTTGCAATACTTCTCTACACAAAGGGAAAAACTTATTTCCACAAATGTTGCTTTAAGAAAAGCCTCCAACAGCTTGAGCCCCACTTCACCCGAAACAATAATTAGGCTGCAAACATTCCTTTAATAAGATGCTGTATAGGATTCAGGCGGTGAGCTGCTGGAATTGGAAAGAGAGAGATGTGATTGGACAGGCTCACTTTCTTGTTAAAAAAACAAAACACTTAATAACGAGCTCTGTCCCGGCTGAAGAGAGCAGAAGAGCTGGGGGATTGCAGGTTGCTTGATGGGAGATTTGTTTTGTGCTCAGCTGCCTCAGCAGCTGCTAGTTCTACCGCTGTGGATGGGGGTGGGTGTCTTCCAGCGCAGGTTATTCATTTAAAGTGTCCTATCATCAATAACAGCGCAGCAATGACATGTAGCGAAAGTCCCTTCTTGACAGCGGCAACCTCATGCTACAGCACAAACACCATGATTGATATCATCTGCACGGCGGTTGCTACAGGTCATTATATTCAAAATATGCCATGCTGTGCCGCAGAATATTATACAAATTTGTCCTACTAAAATCTGAGAAACGCCCACCCTCACTGATGGCTGTGAATTAATTCAATTATGCAGTGTCGTAGGCTTTTTTCATGAAATGTCAATGATATGATATATGGTGATTCATAAAATGTTTGTACTGCAATGTCTTATCAGTCATGAGGAACAGCGATGTTGAAACTCAATATAAATTAAATATCATTTAAATTAAATTCAAGCAAAACACTTTTTGGACAATCATTATTTACCTGTATGTTCCTTAAAGTCTATAAATACTAATTGGCAAGTTAACATTTAAATAAAAAACAATTGTGCCGTCCAGGTAAAGAAACACAGGTTTCACTATTTATCTTTTAATCAAACTCCTGGACCTTTGATGGATTCTAAACATACATTAACCTGAATGCTTAGTTTCCATGCCTTCTATTGTGGTCCACATAATACAAAAATATAGTGAATTTGAATGAGACTATCAAAATATATGCCAGCAGTTGTTGTTCGGTGAAAAACAAAGCCTTTTAAAATGAAAACCGAATGCCTGGGTTTGAGTAATGTTTCCTGAGTTATGATCAATGATAAGAGTACGGTGGTGTTTCTGGGCAAAGCTTCAAATTAAATTGGCCTTTCTATGCTGCATGGCAAGACATTCTAAAGCAAAAATCCCAAGATGCCAGAAAATGATGAATTCTATCAGTCACCAAGACCTGCCATGGTGTAAGAGACAATTTTCCATTACTGAAGTGGCAACAGATTTCAGCTTTGAACAGAGGGGAAAAAGCGTGTTCATGTAGTGCTATGTAAGGGCTTATCTGACTGACAGGTCAGTGTGTCAGGACTTTAAGCTAGATTGGGAAATACGCTATAGGCCAAAACCTGAGTGCACTGGAGAAGGAAAAAAAATACATTCACCGGTTGTTTAAGCAATGAAACAATACTGTGGGGTACAATTGTTAACCCTATATAGTATTAACAATGTTCAGCAAGGATTAACATCTTTATTTATTGTTTTAATAATACATTTATTATAGAGAATGTAACAATCTAAATAGGGATGATGCTCATGAGCCTCTTATGATATGGTGACTGACATTTAGGATTTTATTTCTAAGGCAGAATTTACAGTTAATTCAAACAATGCTAGAAACATGATATTATTATGGAATTAAATAACATAGCTGTAAATCCGATAAAATATTCACCTCTCCTATATGGGGTATCTGCTGCAAACATTATCACAGAAGCATATAGCTTATTTATAAGTATGTTCTGAAATTCTGTGTTGTGTTTATACTGTATTTGTCTCCACATGGGAGGTGTCAAAGCACTTGTGAAAATCAAACATGATGTTGTCTGTTTTCAATGAATTTGTTGCATCTTTTTAAACCAAATGAAAAGAGCTAGGCTTTGTAACTCTGTAACAACAACCTCTTATGTTTTTGTATCTCTCCCTTGTCCCCCTTGTCTTTTTTTAACAGTTGTCAACTTTCGGAAATGTTTCCGAGCTGGCAGCTAATTAGTAAGCAGTTTGCCAGACTACTTGGATTAAATGCAATCAGCAAGGTGACTGGTAAATAAGCTTCAAGGTTAAACAAAATAAAACATCCTTCATCACAGAATTGGCTTTGCTTAAAAATCTGTGATGGCTTGTGATTTGAAAATCACAAGCCAACCACACACTTTTTGGCATGAACATTTGTGCAAATTATTTGTTTCAATTAATTTGCACTTCAAACACATTCAGTTGGTTGTAGCTGCTAGTTTTGGTTCTTCCCTGGTTGGGTTTAGACAATGTTTACAGCTAGTGTTTACTGCTGATAATATAAATGAATTGCTCAGTGGGGGAAGTTTTTCCTTGTCCACCTCCTAAAGGGGACCAGAGGTCAACATTTTGTAATGCAGCAGCAACACATAAGCTGCTTTGGAGCAGTTGCTTGCTAACATGGGGGTTTAAACCAAAAGCTGCCTCCCTTCTAACTATGGTGCTCAGCTGGAGCCATCTGCAAGCAATGTAGAGTAATTGGTGTCTTTGAGTGATCCGTGTGATCCCCTGTCTCAATAAAAAATGGCTCTCCGGTGAGACATCACTATTGTGTTACAAGGTAACAAACATTTACTAGGGGACGGTTCAAGATTGCTTTTTGCTAGCTGTAAAGATATTAGAAAAACTGACTTCAGAAAATGAAATGAACTCATAAAGAGTCTTTGCTTTAAAAGCAAATGTATGCTGGACATCTTTATTATTCTGTCTTTGTTTAGATGCTGTGGCATCAGTGCATGGTAATACTCTTATTGTGTTCATTTGAATTAAATTGGACCTATAGAAATATACTGTGGGTTTAGAAAAGCTCCATTAGGAGAAATTACGTTTTTTATATTAATTAAAAAAAGTCCCAAATTGGAATTAATAAAGTATGTCTAATCTAATGTGAAACATTGAATTAAACATGAAGAAGTCTGCTGATCTTTTATTTGAATCTTATTAACAATAATACATTACATTATTATCAGTATTTATTTTACCTAAGTTGTGGACTTTTGATTATTTACATGATTTCTGTGTACTGTATATTTCAAACTTTAACCTTTTGCACTTTAAAACACAAGCAACAGGCAATGAAGAAACTTTTATAATTGATGGATCAATCTAAGGGTCGAATGTCTTTCATGAGTCTGCAGAATCACAGGCTGTAGCCACAGGAGGAATGATAACGGAAACTAAACGAAATCGTTATCAAAAAAGTCTTCCGTCCACACGCAATAGGCACCAGAAACGTGTCCGTCCACACGAGACAGCTCGAACCGCTGGAGACGCTGTAGTACATATGCCGGGCCTGTAAGTGGCGCTGTACTTCTGCCACAAAATACACCAAAAGCAGTGAATAAGACTTCTCGTGCATGCAGTGGCGGCCGGCCCATAGGGGCGCTAGGGGCGCCGCACCCCCTCTTCCCACATGTTTGATTGTCATTAAAAAATAAAAAATAAATAAATAAATATATTTGAAAAATAATATATATTTTTTATTTTTAATGAACAAGGTAAATATTATTTAGTTGGTATCAGTAAAATGTATAATCTACAATACAATCTCGTTTAAAATTGTTTTATGATGTCTAAAGTTACTGATAAGTCAAATGTTTCCTGCCTGGCCGCGTGTATCATTACCCCCTCTCGTCCGGGCGGTAGAAAGGAGCCCTCAGCCAGAGCAGCCAGAGCAGCAGCAGCCAACAAGCTGACTGTTGCTATCTGTATAGCCTACTATGCCGACGAAACATAATTTCAGCTAATCAGCGTCGTCAGATCTGATGCTCAAAGGGCGCCCTGTCAGC